CGTGTCGTGTCGTGCGGCGTGTGCGGTGGAGGAGTACCGGTCGAGGTCGTTGATCTTGCTCTGGCGCACCTCCTGCAGGATGGGAGGCACCTTCTCGCCGGCGTAGCCGCCGCCCCACCCCAGCACGCGCGCTGCCCAATCCCGCACCACACGACACGACACGACACGACACGACACGACACGACACGACACGACACGACCAACGACACGACACGACCAACGACAGGCGCGTGTAAGAACAACCGCACACGACCGACCGCACACACGGTGAGGTACCGATGTCGTTGCCGGTGCCGAGCGGCAGGACGGCGACGGGCGGGTTGGGATCGAGTCCCATCTTGTCCATCGTTTCCTGCGTCACCAGTACTCTCAGCTTTGCAGCTCTCCGTGTGCGTGTGCGTGTGCGTGTGCGGTGGTGCGCGTGTGGCGTGTGCGGTGCGTGTGTGCGTACAAGGATCCATTTGCCGGTGCCGTCGCCGCCGCACGCCAATATCTTGAGGTTGGGCAGCTCCTTGAACTTTTCCAGCCTATTATTATTAAAATGATTAATAAATAACATTTAAATAAAGTACATTTTCCCAAATATAGATAAAATAGAAATAATATAATAATAAAAACAAATAGATAATAAAAAGGGGCGTACGCGGGGCGGGGGCCTTGGTTGTCCTCGAGGAGGTCGATGACGTGGTCGTGGGGCAGGAGGGCGCGGAACTTGGGGAGCAGGGCCGCCCCCTGCCGCCCGCCGCTCTTGCTGTTCACGAAGACCAGCAGCGGATCCTCATGATGCTGCTCGCCACTTTGCTGTGCGTCATCTTCACCGGACTTGCCCTTGCTCGACTTGCTCGACTTGAACATGTATTGTCTTGTCTTGATTATTTCTGATTTATAGATTATGGATTTATATGTTTGGTGCCTTGTGTGGGTAATGGGAAGTAAAAACCCAACACACTCTTGTTTTAGTTTAAAATTATAAAATAAATTAAAGGGTTGTAATTATTTGCAGTAAAAAGAGGGCAAATAAATGACCTTCGGCGGATTTCTCTTCGCCTTTGTCGAATTTCTTTTCCATTTCTCCTTTTTTGTTTACCTTTTTATTTTTGTACCCAAAGATGTCGAGCTTCGATCCGACCACAGATGAGGCGCTGGTCTACGGCCTGCCCCTCAAGGTGCACCTTCCCTTTTGGCTCGCTCACCACTACTTCTTGTATTTATTAGAAATTGATTTATTATTTAAATCCATTTTTTTTGTTGGGGGGTGGGCGCAGGCGCGGTGTCTCGTGGCCCAGGCGGGCGAGACGGAGAAGAACTGCTTCCTCGTAGGCTCGCTCAGCCTCCGCGAGGAGAACGAGGTAACCCACCGCACACGCCGCACACACACACACACACTACCGCACACGCCGCACGCACTCGCACGTCGCTGGAGCGCCAACCAACAATGTGGTGCGTGCGTGCCCACACAGTTGCACCTGATCGAAGTGAAGGAAGACACGGGCCGTGACCATCTCGACGTGGCCTGCACCGGCCACTTCAGCCACCCCAAGGTGGTGCCCAGACCGCTCGTGTGTGTCATGTGTCATGTGTGCGGTGCCACCCCGTGGCTGACTCGTCATCGTGTGCCGTGCCATGCGTGTCGTGTGTGTGTGTGTGTGTGTGTGTGGTGAGTGTAGGAGATATGGCACATCGCGCCGTCGCCCTCGGACCCGCTGCTCCTCTACACCTGCTACAACACCGGTATATATTCACCACGCTATTATATTATTTAATATTATATCATACATATTAACTGTTTATTCTTTATATCGTTATTTGTGTTGGGACATGTGCAGGCCAGAACGAGTTCCGTGCGTCGCTGTGGCGGATCGACGACCAGACCCTGGTCGAGACCTCCCAGCTCGCCCACAGCGAAACCATCAAATGGTGCATAGCACTGCACACGACACACGACACGACACGACACGACACGACACGACACGCGGCTGATTGTGGTGCGATGGTTGGGGGGGGGAAGTGTCCTGTGGCACCCGGTGGAGGACGAGGAGGAGAGCCGGATGGTCCTGTCGCTCGACGACAACACCATCAAGCTGTGGGACATCGAAGCCGGCGGGTCGTCGGCCAAGGAGACCGGCACCATCACCCTCGGTACGTGTGCGGTCGTGCGATGTGTCGTGTGCGGTCGTGTGCGTGTGCGTGTGCGGTGTGTGCGCTGACTGGAAAACGAACAGGTGAGCTGCAGAGACTGACCACGGGCTGCTGGAATCCGAACAATACCAATGAAGTCGTGGCCGCCAATGACACCCGTGTCCAGGGCTGGGACCTCCGCTCCCTCAAGTACGGCGCTCCTGTCCACGCACACGCACACGCTAACGCCGCACACGCTAACGCCGCACGGCACACGGCACAACACTCACGCAGGGAGACGTTTTCGATACCGAAGGCGCACTCGCACTTTGTGCGGGACCTGGACTACAACCCCAACAAGCTCTACCTCATCGCCACCGGCGGCGACGACTGCTACGTCAAGTTTTGGTACACACCGCACACGCACACGCACACGACACGACACGACACACACACACACACCACCGCACACGCACACGCACACACCGCACGCTCATATGGGGGTGCAGGGACACACGGAAGAGTCAGGAACCGTTGAAGGTGGTGAAGGGCCACTCGCACTGGGTGTGGAACGTGGAGTACAACAAGTTCCGGGACCAGCTCGTGCTGTCGTCCTCCACCGACAGCTCCGTCAACCTCTGGAAGATCGCCACCCTCTCCTCCTCGTCGGAGCCTCTCGGCATCGACGACTACCGAGACCCGGCCGACACCGCGTACGTGCCGTGTGCGGTGTGTGCGTGTGTGGTGCGTGCGTGTGCGGTGTGTGCGGTGCTGATGTGTGTTGGGTGCAGAGGGAGGGAGGACTACCTGATCAAGAGTTACGATGTGCACGAGGAGAGCGTGTACTCGGTGGCGTGGGGCTGCTACGAGGCCTCGCCCTACGTCTTCGCCTCCCTCTCCTACGACGGCCGCGTCGTCATCAACCAGGTGCCCGAAGAGGAGATCGCCCGCATTCAAGACGAGATGTAACTGTTGTGTGTGTGTTGTTTGTTGTGTGTGGCAATAATAACCTTACATACATACTTGAGATAATATAACCTTTAGAAGCAACAAACATTCTCTTCCATTACAGTGTACTGTGTGCTTCATGATGAGGTGAGACATTGATGTGTGAGTGAGAATGGAGAGGTAGCAAAAAAAGTTGGGTATCTTCTCGATTTTGCGTGTCATCCTTGCGCAGGGGCCATGCTAATCTTCTCTGTATCGTTCCAATTTTAACAGATGGAGCCTCCCTTTCGGGAGGTCCGATCATGAAGTGCCTGCCTGGCGCCTTCTTGAACCACTCCTGGCCGGTCGTCTCCTTCGCTTGTGGGACGAAAAAGGAGCGGACCTTTCCTAAAATAGAAAAAAGAAATGAATAGGAAATCAGAAACGGAAAAAGAAAGATAAAGCGAATAAGAAGAAGAAGATGGAGAGCTTGCCACATGCGGTGACGAAGATATTTGGTGGGTCGCCGGGCTCGGGGGCTTCAACGCTGCACCTAGGGGGGAGGAACGAAGCTGTCCTGCAACACAAGCAGTCGGTCGACATGGAGGCGGCGGATGAGATGTACGGCCCCAGGAGCGATTGCTTCGTGTTTGAGGCCTACCCCGAGGTCAAGAAGGCCTTCATCAGGCGCGTCTACCAGATCCTTGTTGCCCAGTTGGTCCTCACCGCCGGCGTCATCTACGCCATCCGCAGCCTCTACAACATCGATAACACCATCTCCTTCTCTGGCGACCAAGATGCAACCCCCATCAGCTGGCAAAGATGGCGAAGCCGTGGGGCCGTCGATGGAGGCCCTCTCCAACCTCTTCTGGTCGGGCTTCCTGGGATCCATGGTCACCCTTACCATGCTCCATTTCGTAGCGCGTCGCCATCCCCACAATCTCGCCGTCCTATTCGCATTCACCTTCTTCGAATCGCTCCTCCTCTCATCGGCCCTCGTGTTCGTCCCCGCGGGCCTCCTCTTCCGTGCGCTCCTCACCACCACAGCCGTCTTCATCGGTCTCATCCTCTACACGCTCGAATCCAAGGCCGATTACTCGTTCCTTCGATCGTACCTCGGATCCGCGCTGTCGATCATCGTCGTGGCCGGCTTCTTCCAGCTGTTCTGGCCCATGGGCTCCGCCATGGACACCGTCTACACCTGGTTCGGCGCCCTCGTCTTCTGTGGTTTCATCATCTACGACACCTGGCGACTCCACTTTCAGGTATGGCTCTTCATCATCACTGCCTTCTTCTTCTTCTTCTTCACCAGCACAACTGTGAGTTGAGAGTGTTGCTTACATTCGTGCGTGTGCGTGTGCGTGTGCGTGTGCGTGTCGCGCTGATGTGATGATGAATGACCACACAGCTCAAGCCCGATGAGTACGTGCTCGCGGCAGCCAGCCTGTACCTCGACTTCATCAACCTCTTCCTCCGCGTCCTCCACCTCCTCTCCAAGAAGAAGTGAAGCCACACTTCTCTCTCTTTCATTCTCTCCTCCTTCAGCCGTGTACAGACCACACCAATTCAAATTTAAATATAAATACATATAAATATTTTATTTATCTTTGTTTTGTAAAATGCTTGATTATAAAAAGAGAAATAAATGGAGGCGGAGCAAGCGGGAGGGCCGTGGGTGGGGGTGTCGCTCATGCCCCACCCGCAGTACCGTCGCGCCATCCAACCGCTGCTCGACCAGCACCTCATCGACGCCATCGAGTGGAGGTGCAAAATCGAATATAAATACATAAAACCGATATTTATATATAAATATAAATATAGATAATATAAGAGAATATAATTAATTCAGAGTGGTGGGGTACAGCTGCGACATAGGGTGGGGCATGGGCGGGCGACTGCCGGCGTGGGTGGTCGACCTGCTCGACCAGTTCGGCCGGGCCGGGCGGCTGTTCGGCCACGGCGTCATGTACTCGCCCACCTCCGCCATCTGGGAACGACGCCAAGCCGCCGTACGCACACTCCCTGCCACCCGTGTGTGCGGTCGTGTGCGGTGGTGGCTGAGTTCTGTGCGTGTGTGCGGTCGTGCGTGTGCGTGTGCGTGTGTAGTGGTTGAGGTGGCTCGAGCGAGAATGCGAGGAGCGGCGCTTCGGCCACATCACCGAACACTTTGGGTTCATGACCGCCGGCGGCGCACTCGAGGGCTGCCCCCTGCCCCTCCCCTTCACCCCCGGGTACGCTCCCTTCACCCATCGATGCTGACGTGGCACCACCTCACACACGACACGACACGACACGACACGACACGCGCAGGGCGGTCGAAGTGGGGGTGGATCGGCTGCGGCGCATGCACCGGGCGGCGGGCGGGGCCACGCCGGTCGGGCTGGAGAACCTGGCGCTGGCCATGGGGCCGGCCGACGCGGCGGACCAGGGGCCGTTCCTGGCCGCCGTGCTCGAGCGCCTGGGCGACCAGGGCGTGCTGCTGCTCGACCTCCACAACCTCCACTGCCAGATCGTCAACTTCTCCCTCTCCGCCCAAGACGCCATCAAACGGTGCATGTCGTGTCGTGTCGTGTCGTGTGTGCGGTTGTGCGTGTGCGCTGATGTGTGTGTGCGTGTGTCGTGTGTGCGTGTGTCGTGTGTGTGTGTGTGTGTGTGTGCGGTTACAGGTACCCACTGGAGCGGGTGCATGCGGTGCATATCTCGGGCGGGTCGTGGTGCAGGCTCGCGTGCGACCCGGAGGGCAGGCCCTTCCGCCGGGACACCCACGACGGCGACGTGCCGCCGGAGATCATCGACGAACTGCTGCCGCTCGCCCTTCGCCTGTGCCCCAACCTCCGCGTCGTGGTCCTCGAACGGTGCCCTCCCCTCTCCTCCACCTCCGCTCTCGCCCACAGGCCCATCTCACTCACTCTCGTGTGTCGTGTCGCGCTGTGTGTGTGTGTGTGTGTGTGGTGCGTGTCGTGCTGTGTGTCGTGTGTGGTGCGTGTCGTGTGTGGTGCGTGTCGTGTGTCGTGTATTGTGCGCGCAAGGCTGGGCGAGACGATTCGATCGGAGGCGGACGCCGAGCGGCTGCGCGAAGACTTTTGTCGCATTCGGTCGGTCGTTCGCGACTTCGCCTCGGCGCAGCGTGCTCAGAGCACGGCAGGAGCAGCAGCGGCCGCCGATGAGAGCGCAGGCGGCCGTGCCACCGCTGAAGCTGACCACCACAACAACATCAACGCCACCACCGCCACCGACGACGACGATGGTGGTGGTGATGAGGCCGCGTTGGAGTCTCCGCCGTTCGAAGATGAGGAGCTGGGGCGGTACCAGGCGGCGTTCTTGCGGCTGTTCGTGCGGGACCTCTCACCCGAGCAGCTCCTCCACCAACTTCGCGCCCAACCCGAATTCGCGCCATTCCAAAGTACGCTCCCCTCTCGTGCGTGTGCGGTGGCGCGTGTGCGTGTGCGTGTGCTGTCGTGCGTGTGTGCGACTGACGCGGCGGCAGAGTATGTGGAGGGGTTCGACGTGCGGTGTGTGGAGGTGGCCTCGGTCCTGGTGCGCAAGTGGGTGCGCTTCGCTCGGCCAAAGGCGTACGAGTCCCGATGGCGACGGCCGCGACCCGACAGCGAAGGCGAAGAAGACGAGGAGGAGGAAGAAGAGGAAGAATACGCAGAAGAAGACGGGGAAGGAGGCGATGGTGGCGAGTGCGATGTGTACGAGTCTTCAGAAGCTGATGAGTGACGTGGTGGGCTGGGCGTGGATATAACTTAGGTGGTTTATTTTGGGTATCTCTTGAGCGAGACGCGCTGCGTTGTGGCTGCACGGCAGTACATCAGCCCAACAAGACGACACCAAAACGATGGTGGTGGAAGGGCGGCGTAGGTTTGAACAGTTGAGAGAGAAGGAGAGAGAGAAGGACGTGGAGAGAGATGTGTGTACTCCCGAGAGGCGTCGAAGGAGCGCGGCCAGAAGAGGAGAAGAGCGTAGGAGATGGATGGATGACCTGCTTACTTGGACTTCTTGTTGAGCTTCTTCCTCTTGAGGCCGTCCTCAAAGTTGAGCTGGATGAAGCCCCAGAAGCCGAAAGGCACGAGGAGCGAAGCAACGCTCAGGAATGAGAAGATGCCCCAGTGGGCCTGCATAGAAAGACGCCGCGCGTGGCAATCAATTAGACTCATAGATCCGCGTACGAATGAATGAATGGGGAATATTGGCGATTGTAGCCGAAGTGGACGTACGAGGTGGGAGCCAGAGCGGACCTCACCCTCGCTGGAGGAGAGGATGGGCAGCGAACCGACACCAGTGGAGATAGAGATCTACACAGAACAAAATGATAAATGAGCAAAATGTACAGGGCCTCTCGAAATTGAATTCGGGAGGGGGGGATGGAGAGGCGTGCCTGGAGGGGACCCTTGGCAGTCTCGCGGTACTGGACGTAGCCAGGGAGAGCCCTCACAACGGTGTTGGCAACGCCAGCCTTAGGCTGGACCACGAAGTAGTGTGACACATTCTGGCCACTGCGAATGATCGGCAGATTAGGCCCCATTTTCAGTGTCCAAAGTTTGGTGATGTGGGGAAGCGTACGGGGCGATCTTGTCCCAGGTGGCGGTGGGAATACCGACCTTGACGTCGAAGTTCTTGAGCCAATCCTGATCGAAAAGCTCCACATCGTACGCGCTACTACAAAAGCGAAAAATTTCAATGAGAGGCTCAATCAAGAGCAGCTCTGCGCGGCTCTATCAAAGAGGAAGGGGGATGTACGTCTTGCCAGTGTTGAAGATGTTAATCTTCACCACAACAGCTCGCGAGGAGAGGATCTCGGTGTTGGTGAGGGTTTTCCGGACGAGGAGTTCAGCATTGCAGAGGGAGAGGAGGAACACCAAGCCCACCACGCAGAGCAGGATTCTGTGCAGCATTTTGGTTTCGCGAGATCTCGGGAGGAAAGATGGCTGAGCGTGACCTCTCTTCTTTCAATCTTTGCTTCGTTGTGTCGCGGCAGTCTCGCTGACGACAAAGTCAACGCAGGTCGCGTATCACCACATACCTTACATTCTCGCTTAATATATTTGTTGAAAACGATTTCGTTTGCGAAGCAGATTTGAAAAATAGAACTGTTCATGAAGATGACGCGCGAGCTGTACAGAGGAAGAGGAGAAGAACGCTCAGGTGGGCCTGATGAAGTCGGAATGCTCGGCGAGGTAGAGCCGAAGCAGAAGGCACACAACCAGAAGCACCAACGAGCCCGTCACGAAGAAGCCCAGCACGCCGGCATCATCGGGTCCTTGTCGTTGGCTACCGCCGACCACAGCCGCGGCCACCACTTGACGCTTGCGAGCAAACAGGCCACGGCACAGCGCGAGCAGACCGTCGCGCTCCACCTCCAAGCTCTTCACCTGAAGCTGCAGCTCCTCCACCTCGGCCTTGCTCGGCCCGGCCGCCGCATCGAGCTCTAAAGAGTTGGCCGCCGCGGCGAGCTCGTGGGCGAGTCGCGACTCGGCGTCTCCTCGCAGACGGACCTGGGCGACCTCGAGCTGGTCCCTGATGGCCCGCTGCTGCTTCTCGCTCTCGGCGAGTGCGTGCTGGAGCCGCCTGGTCTCCTCGGCTTCGCGCTCGAGCCGCGCCTGGCTGGCCTTGAGCTGGTCGCCGATCGCGCGCCGCTGCTGTTCGCCGTCGGCCAAGGCGCGCTTCATCATCATCAACTCTTGCTCCTCCTTGTTGTCGGACATGGCCGGCCTGTGCTGCAACTCTGCGTTGACGCGCTCGAGGTCCGTGCACCTTTGCTCGCTGTCGGCCAGGGCGGCGGTCAGACGCTGCAGCTCGTCCGCTTCGCGCTGGCGCCGTGCCTGGGTGGCCTCGAGCTCCTCTCCAAGCTCCCTGCGCCGCGCGTCGCTCTCGGCCAGCGCGTGCTCCAGCCGTTGGCGTTCGCCTTCGGCGCGCGCGGCTCGCTGCTGGCTGGCCTCGAGCTCGTCGCTCTGTGCCTGCCTCGCCGTGCTCGCTTCGTCGAGCGAGCGACGCAGCCGATCAATCTCAGCCTGGAGCCGTCCCTCGCTCAGCGCAAACTCGCCGCGGAGGCGCTGGCCCAGCTCCTCCTCGCGCCTCGCCCGCTCCTGGCTGGCCTCGTCGAGCTGCGCCCCGGCCTCCCGGCACTGCCGCTCGCTTTCGGACAGGGCCTGGCTCAGCCGCTGCAGCTCCTCCTCGTTCGCCCGGACCAGCTCACCGCGCAGCTGCGCCTCACTTGCGGCCAGCGACTGCTTGAGCTGCTGGAGCTCGTCCTCGACGCGGGCGGCTCGGTCTCGGCTGGCCTCGAGCTCTCCGCTGAGCTGCTCGCACCTGGCCTCGCTCTCGGCCACGGCCTGCTTCAGCTGCTCGAGCTCCTCTCCGAGGGCTCTTCGCTCCCGACGCAACGCCGCCACCTCCTCCCCGTGGTCGTCATCGACCCGATGAGGCAGAGCAGCAGCAGCAGCTCTCTCCGCCTCGGCCTCGTCCGCACGTTGAAGGGCTTGACGCGCCGCCTCCTGCGCGGCCTGGAGCTCCAGCCGCGCCTTGTGCAGCTCCTCCTCTACCTCCTCCACTCGGGTCCGTGCCTCCGCTCGCTGTTGCTGTTCCTGTAGAAGCTGCTCAGCGGCGCTCTGCCGAAGGGCAGCCAGCTCGTCACGCAGGGCTTCTGAGACGACGGCGTGCTCGAGGAGCTGGCTCTCGCTCGTGGCCTGGTTCCGCTCGCGCAGAGCGTCAGTCTCCTCGCGCCACCGGGCTTCCGCCTCGCCATAGGCTGCCTCGCTGCGCCTGAGGGCCTCGCCGACTCGCTCGAGCTCCTCGCGCTGCCGCTCGCACTCGGCCAGGGACCGCTTCAACTCAGCTTCAGCGGCACTCTTAGAGTCGTGCAGCCTGGCGAGTTCGTCGCGCAAAGACACGATCTCCGCCGCGTGTGGGTGGTCCTCGCCGGCCTCCGTGTTCGGGGTCACCGACGCCGTGGCCGCGTCCGTGCGTAGTCGCTCCAGCTCGGCCTCCATGGCGCCCTGGGCGGTCCGCAACTCAGTCAGCTCTTCGGCGTGCGCTCGTTCTCGGTCGCGCTCCCTCTCGCCCGCCTGCCGCAGCTCGGCCTCGACCTCGGCGAGCCGCGTCTCGCTGCCGGCCAGCGACCGCCGCAGCTCGACTTCGATGGCGTCTCTCTGCCGAAGCAGCTCGGCCAGCTCCTCGGAGTGTCGCTGCTCCTGGCTGCGCGCCTGCTGCTGCAGAGAGTCGAAGCTCTGCTGCAGGGCAGCGATCTCCTGCCGCTGCGCGTCGCTGTCGCCCGAGGCGTCCTTAAGCCGCTGTAGTTCGGTCTCGAGAGCGGCGTTGGCGTCGTGCAGCTTCGCGCGCTCGTCGTTGAGTCGCGCCTCCTCCTCGGCCGCCTTTTCCTCGGCCTGTCGCAGCTTCTCATCGAGCGCTCGCGCCGTCGCCTCGCTCTCGGCCAGGGCGTGGTTCAGTTCCGCCTCCGCGGCGCTCCGCTCCTCGGACAGTCGGGCCAGCTTGGCCGCCTCCTCGCCGTGCCGTCGCTCCCACTCCTCCGCGCGTTGACGTAAACCTTCGAGCTCGCCACTTCGCTGCTCGTCGCCTTCGGCCAGCGACTCTTTCAGGCACTGCAGTTCAGCTTCGACGGCGCGCTTGTTTTCGTTCAGCGTGGCGAGCTGGTCGCTGAGCCGGCGTTCCCGCTCACCGGCCTCCCGTAGCAGCTCTTCGACCGCCTGGCGCTTCGCTTCGCCCTCGGCCAGTGAGGCCCGCAGCTCAGCTTCGAGCGCCTCCCTCTCCTCGCGGAGCTTTGTGAGCGCCTCGCCGTGCCGCAGTTCATTCTCGGCCGTCGTCTGTTGCAGCCTCTCGTACTGGCTCTGCAGTGATTCGATCGTCTCACGCTGTTCTGCGCTCTGGCTCTCGGCCTGCGCCAGGCTTGCCTCGAGCGCGCGCTTCTCCTCGTTAAGCTTGTATATCTCCTGGGTGCCGAGAGCCTCGGTGCTGGCCTGCTGCTCGAGTTCATCGATCCTCCGGCGTTGCTCGACGCTGTCGGCCGCGCTCTGTCGCAGTTCGGTCTCGATGGCACTCTTGTCCTCATGGAGTTTTTCTAGCTCCTCGCGGTGCTCACGTTCCCGTTCGCCCGCCTGCCGGCGCAGCTCGTCGATCTCCTCGCGCTTGGACTCGATCTCGCCCAGCGCGTGCTTCAGCTGCTCCTCGATGCCCTCCTTCTCTTCACGCAATCGGGCCACCTCCGAGTCGTGCTTGCGCGCCCATTCGCTTGCCTCCCCGCGCAGCTCTTCACAACTCTGCTCGAGGGTGCTGATTGCCTCGCGCAGCTTCGCCAGCTCCGAGTTGTGCTGCCGCTCCAGCTCCTGTTCGCGCTCGCCCGCCTGCGCGAGCAACTCCTCGCGTTGTCGATCGGCCTCGGCCTGTGTGATGGTGGGTCCCTTTCCACGCGACTCTTCATCCTCGGCCTTGACACCATCGCCGGAGACGACCATCAGCGATTCCACATCGCCATCGTCGTTCTCGCCGTCCATTGGTGTGCCTAGCTCAACAAGCTCATCCGAAAGCGACTGTGTGGCGCGAGTGCGTTCGCAACGATTAGTTTGGGCCTTTGTTTTGTGCGTACTAGAGGGACAACAAGCAGGCCAAAGCGTACCTGAGCGTCCAGCAGGAGGGGCATAGAGTCCATCTGAGGGAGCGACGAGCGCTGGGCCAGGGCGTTAGCCTGTTCGAGGGCTCGAGTGAGATTCTGCCGCTCGAACTCCCACGCCTGCTGCCTGGCCTCGAGATCCCGCTGGAGCTCTGCCAGGCCGTCTTCGCTCGCTTTCAGGGCCTGCCGACTGAAGGTATGAGCAACATAACTCGGCATTAAAACGCGCCCACAAGTCACCCACACGAGCTTGTACCTCTTTGAGTTGGTTCGTTTCTTTGAGCTGGTTCCTCAGCGTTTTGATCTCCTGCTCCATGGTGTTGATCTTGGCTTCTTTTTCGGGCAGCAGCTCTTTCGCCTTCGTCAGTTCCTCTGTTTCCCCGCCGTGAGCGGTCGCGTGCGGTGTCAGTTTAGTGCCGCTACGGCCAATAGGCGTGCAGAACGTGTGCCAAGGTGTGCGTGGAGTCGCGTTGTGTAGAGGATATTCGTACTTCGCTCTTCAGTATGGATCTTGAGCTGTTTCTTTTGATAGGCAGTCGTTTTGGTCAAGACGTCGATCTTGTTCTCGAGCGCTGTCACATTGTCCTTGAGCTAGAGAGAGAGAGAGGAGGAGGAGGAGAAGAGGAGGAGAAGAGGAGGAAAAGTCGGGCCGAGTCGTTCGCTGGTTAGCGCGGGAGCTCAGGCGGTGAGGCGCACACGACAAATGCAATCATCAGGGGAAAGAGGGAGCAGACCTGGGCTTCCAGATCTTCTTTGTCCTCGTTCAGCTTGGCGACGCGCGTCTGCAGCCTGAGTATCTCCCTCTTGCTGGTGGCCCGCTCGCCCTTCAGTTTCTCCTCGAGCTTCTTGTTCTTGGCGTCCAGCTTCTTGCTCGCCTGCGCTCAGGGGTGGTTTAAGGTGAGACTGGCTGCTAGTTGCAGCAAGGGCGAGGAGATGAGGGCAGTACTTGAAGCAACGTATTGACTCGAAGCTGCAGCTCGGTCTCCCCGGCGTCCGCGGCCGGTGGGTCTTCGAGAGAGTGGTCGATGGAGCTATCGAGCTCCTCGCTCGTGTCTACGAGGTGATCGTACGGGTTGTTGCCTTGGAAGCTGTCGTCGCCATCCTCTAGACTTTCGCCATCATCGTTCGTCTCGTCCAGCTCGCCATCAGATTCGAGATTCTCGCCTCCCTCCTCACCGTACATCCCCAGGAACTGCTCAATCGCGGCTTGAGGAACGCTGTTGCAGTGCAAAAGAAATGCTATGAGGTGGTGGGCAGAATAATAAGAATGATGCTGGACTGCCGCGTACCGTCCTTCTTCATCTGTAAAGTCATCGATGAGATCTGCCTGCTCATCTTTCATCCCCAGGTCACGCATGAGCGCCATAAACTGGGGCTTGGGCAAATAGCCATTGCCTGCCGTAAATGTGCGCAAGATGTGCGTGCGAGGCGATGGTGGTTCCTTTTCGATGACCTTCCCATTTCCACTGCTCCCATATCCAGGGAAATCCTCGCCCTCATCTTGCTCCTCGCGTTGGTTCACGTGCGTGGCACCGAAGTCTGGTCGTGGCAGCCCCTCGTCTTCGTCCAGCTGCCCTTCCCCTCTTCCTTCGTCCATCTTCGATCTGCAGGCTACAACAGGTAAAACTGTAGTTTCGTGTCTTCCCGCCAAAAAAGTGTGTTGCCCTGGCACCTTCAAGGGGGTGGCTAGGAATGGCGAGCTTTTTGAAAGACACATGTCACACCACATAGCATTGCATCTCTCCTGTACAAGAGGCGTCTTCCTCTGCATCCATTCCTCCATCAGCGCGTTCGATCGTTTTCCTCTGTTCATCCGGTCATCTCGCTTTGCTAAAATTAAATCCGCTGATATCCCTCGATTACTGCGGAGGCAGAGTCGGGAAGCATTGGGCGAAGGTGTTCTTGGGGTGCTTGTTGTCCGCATGCTCCTTCAGGGTCTTAGGGTTCGACGTGCACAGGAATGTTTGCTAAATCGAGAAAGTAGGAAATTAATCAGTTCAGATGCGACTTGCTCATCTCATGATCAAGCACGATCGTGCAATTAGACGAGGAGATGGAAAATAAATCTTACCTTGCAGACGTTACAGATGATGCTGAGGGCCTTTTCGTTGGACTTGAGCTGGCTCGACGCCGTCGAGGTCGCGTTCTTCTTGGCATTGCGCTCGCGCTTCTGCGCGGCCTGCTGAGCATTACCCTTTCCCATGTTGTTGGTGGAAACGTCTCTTTTCGAATCGGTGAGAGATGGAAATAAAGGATGATGATGGAACCCAATTCGGTCTTTCTCGTTTCACCAAGGAAGGGAGCGGAAAAAATGAAGAACATCCGGAAATGAAAGAAAAAAAAGAAAAATAAATGGACCAGCACACAGTACCACTACGGAGGTGGTGGGGTGGCATGCTCTGCCACGCGAGGTCGAGGCGATGGTGCTGGCTCACCTGCCGCCACTACACGCCCTGCGGCTCGCCACCGTCTCCTCGTCATGGCACAGCGTACGCCTCACATTTCCCCGCGCTACGCGGTGGCGACTTACTCACACCGCAGACTCGCCCCCACAGGCCGTAAGGACGGCCCACGTCTGGCGCGAGTTGAAGTTCACCAGCGGCCGGGTGTGTGCACGGTTGTTGAACGAGCACCTGGGCCGTCTGTGCATCTCCTTTGGCACCGCGGTACGCACACAGACTTCCGCTCAGGGCACGCGCGCTTGTGCACTCACGCTCACACCCATTTGCGCGGTGCAGGTGAGGCGAGCTGAGTTGCATGGGCTGCAGCTTGTGACCAATCGAGGCGTGGAGATGCTGCTGCAGTGGTGCCCGCACCTCCGGGCGCTCAGCATACGGAGCTGTCCGCACGTGACACCCGAGGCACGCACTCGCCCGTGTGCACTCTGTGAGGCCTGGTCTGACTCTATCGTCGGTTGTGTGGTGCGTGCGTGTGTGTGTCGTGTGAAGGTGGTAGGATTGTGTGCTGAACATGTGCGCGAGGACTTCGAAGAGTTTCGATTGAAGGCCAAGTGGACCAATGCTCTCAGCCTTCGCGTGCTGGGTCAAGGTACAACCTTCGGGCCGAAGTGCTACTGGCTCTCAAGGCTGGCGTGCTGCTCTGTTCACACCTATGGCTTGCGCCGCTGCCTATACGTTCGCCAGAGTGGATGGCCGGCGTGCAAAAGCTGGTCACCAAGTGCGGTCCGCGCCTGCGGGTGTTGGCCTTGGAGATGCAGGTCAGCATGATCGACGTCGCTGCTGTTGTGCAGCACATCGCCCAGCAGTACGTCGGCGTTGAGAGCGGCGCTGCCCAGGCTGGCTAACTCGCATCTCACGGTGCTTCACGGTGCTGTGGCTCACTAGATGCGGCCCGCGGTTGCAGGAGCTCTCGCTGGACGAGATGGCCGACAGCGGGATGGAGCTGCTCGCGCGGCACTGCCCCAACCTGGAGACCGTCAACTGCACGACCGGCATACAATGCGTAAGCGACTCCATGCCGTTTCACACAGGCACCAGCACTATGCGGCGTTGTTTGACCAAAGCGCGCACGCGCACAGGGCGATACGTCGGCGTTCGCGAGTATATGCGAAAATGCGGCGTCGCTGCGAAGCCTCTGCTATCTGAGCATTCCCTACGAGCATCTCCCGCAGCTGACCGCCACCGCGGTGTTCACGCGGCTCGAAACGCTGGAGTTGGATGGGAGTGACGACAGCTGCCAAGATTGTGACGAAGACGATGACCGCGACAAGCTGACGCCGGCTACGATGCTCTCGGACCTGTTCGGCAGGTTTCCGCACCTGACGAATCTCGGCCTAACCAACTACTCTCTGCCGGCGACGTTCTTCTCCGCGTCATCGCTGAGCGCCACGGCTACGGGGTAGCCACCCATCACACTGACTCTCGTGTTCCAGTCGCTCGTGCTCAGCGACACACACACACACACACACACACACACACACACACACACGATGTTGTGTAGATTGACATCGCTCAACCTCGAGGGTTCGTCGTTGGCCAAGGTGGACGTGGAGGCCATCGGCCGGGAGATGCCGCATCTCGAGGAGATCAAGGTCATGCAGTCCACCTTCGACGACGAGCTCGTCCAAGCCTTTTGCCGCGGGCACGATCGCCAGCGCTCGCGGCTGCGCGTCTTCCGGGTCGACGGCACCGAAGTGAGCGCCGACGGCGTCAAGGTTCGTCCGTTCGCCGTTTTCGCCGTTGGCTCGACTTTCACAGCCTGACATCGTCATGCTTTACACACACCAGATGCTGGTTGACGCTTGCCCGCGGCTCGAGTCGGTGGGGACGTACGGGCCGCACTTGACGACGGACGAGAAGCTCGCCGACTTGGCCAGTGCGCGATGGTCCACGCTGAACCTCACCTTCTGGCGGGGCGCGGCTGTCACTTCGCAGGTGCCGCTCTGCACGTCGTGCGACACACGACACGACACGCACCACCGCACACGCCCGCGCGATCATCGCTAACGCAGGCGTGCAGGGGGTGCAGCGCTTCTTTGAGCTTGGTGGCGGCGGGAGGTGCGAACGGTGGTCGTGCTCGGACCGGCCATCGCCCTGGACGAGGCCTCGCTCGCGGCCCTGCTCGACCACTGCCCGCGGCTGGAGCTGCTCCGCGTCACCTCCATCGGGGCCGTCGACGACGCCTGCCTCGCCACCCTGGCCCACCGCGCCCCTCCGTCCCTCGCCCACGTTCAACTCGTACGCGCCACCCCCTCTATTCGCCACCACGATCAACTTACACGTGCTCCGCACGTGTCGTGTCGTGTGTCGCGTGTGTCGTGTTGTGTGCGGCGACACGCCTCAAGGTGGCCTGTGCCGTCACGGAGGAATGCGCGCGGGAGACAGCGACGCGGGTGCCCTTCGTCTTGGACGTTCGCTTCACTTCGCGAGCTCACAAGGCCATGTGAAACCGAACCACTACATCAACGCTTCTCGTTTATTCTTTTTCGTTGTTTCGTTGCTTCAACGATGACGTCAGCTGCCCACCTACGCGGAGCCGTTGGTGGTGGCGGCGGAGTCCGCCTTCTTCCTCCGTTCTCGCACGGCCGCGGCGAGGGACTCGAGCACGGGGATCGTGTCCTTGAAGCTGATGCACGCGTCGGTGATGCTCTTCCCGTACTGCAGGTACTGCGGACCGTCGGCGGGGAGGTCCTGTCGGCCCTCGACGAGGTTGCTCTCAATCATCACTCCGATGATGTCGGCACACCCAGCCGCCACCTGCTCCGCCTGTGTGTCGTGTGTCGTGTGTGTCGTGTTGTGCGTGAGCGTTTGATGATGAAAGAGATGAAACGATGGGCGTGCGGTTGGCGTACGATGGCGGCGGAGACGATGGGCTGGTTGGCGTGGTTCTTGCGCGAGTTGTCGTGCGAGCAGTCGATCATGATCGAGGTGCTGAGCTTGGCCTTGCGCGCCAGCTCGACCGTCTTCTGCACGCTCTCTCCGTCATAGTTGGGTCCGCCCTTGCCGCCGCGCAGCACGATGTGGCACGCGTCGTTGCCTCGCGTTCGCACGATCGCGGTGAGGCCCTGCTTCGTCACGCCCAGGAACTGATGGGGATTCGACGCCGCCTTGATAGCATCCAGCGCCACCTGCACTCCACCATCCGTGCCTGGCTCGGGTACCATCTTGTTAGCACCACCGCACACGCACACGCCACACAATCGCACAGGCAAGGCAGGGCGCCTACCATTCTTGAAACCGACAGGGACGGACAGACCGGAGGCCAGCTCGCGGTGCACCTGGCTCTCGGTGGTGCGCGCTCCGATGGCGCCCCAGGAGACCAGGTCGGCCACGAACTGCGGGCTGATGGTGTCCAAGAACTCCACAGCCGCGGGCACGCCCATCTCGTTCTGCCCAATTAAAAACAAATTAACAAATAAAATAAAATAAAAAGCGAAAGAAAAGATCGGGGCCACAAGATGAAGAAGACAAGAGCAGCAGGAACGAACCAGCTCGCATAGGAGACCGCGAGCGATGCGCAGGCCCTTGTTGATCTGGTAGCTCGAGTCGAGGAAGGGATCGTTGATGAGGCCCTTCCAACCGACGGTGGTGCGCGGCTTCTCGAAGTAGACGCGCATGATTATGCACAGATCATCCTTCAACCTCTCTGCCTCCTCCTTGAGCTTCTTTGCTGCTCAGCAGAACAGACGGGCCAAGGGCGGTCAGCAAATCGTGATGCACCCGATCTTCAATAGTAGCTGTGATCGGTAGAGCAAGTAGCGGCAGTACCGTATTCAATCGCGGCAGCAGGATCGTGGATGGAACAGGGACCAACCACGACAAGCAGACGGTCGTCAAGCTCGCCCGGCCGACGACGCACGATGCGTGCTGCTTGCGTGCGGGCACTGCGCACGGTGGCCGCTATGTTGGGCGTCACCGGCAGTTCCTCAATGAGGATGGAAGGTGGGATGAGTGGGCGCAGCTCCGTCACTCTCACGTCGTCGATCAGTCCCTCGTTGTTATCGAATGCAGCGGCAGACATGGTGTGTGTGATTATTTATGCCTTACGATGATTTCGAGGAAGTGCACGGAGCAGTGGAGATCTGAAGATGGAAGCGTTCAAGTCCAAAGGAGAGTTTAGACGAAGAAGAGAAGGTGCCTGTTGGAGCAAGTGCCAAGACAACCCAACCATGATGGCCTCACTGCACGGTCTGCCCTTGTCGCAGGAGTTTAGGCCATCTCGCCGGTGACATTCGCGACTGCCGTTTCCGCGGGCGACCGCGTGGCGCCACCACACACCAGGACTCTGGGCTCAGCCAGCACTTCTTCAGCCTGGCTGCCGCAGTGGGTGCCCACAGAAACATACCGCACGCACCCACAGAACGGCCGACCTGGTTATGAGCATAGAACGACTGAGGAGGCCAGGCAGGTGTAATCCAGTAGGTACACAGAACATGTGAGAAGGAAGACAACGAGGGACGGATGGCCGAGCGGTCTAAGGCGACAGTTTAAGGCACTGTTATCTTCGGATGCGTGGGTTCAAATCCCACTCCGTTCACTCTCTCTTTTGGCTTTGCCCAGACTTATCTACCAGCCCACAGGCCTTTGCCTTTTTTTTTGATGAGAGGCCGCACACACCGGCCCCAAAGCGATTGTAGCAACGTTCAGCACTGTGACGGCAAGACAAGACAGGGCGAGAGCAAGAGGATGGAAAACCCCGTGGAGGACCATGTCACGGTAGCTGGAGTGGCCGGCGAGGTTTTGATTACAGTGGCAGGACCGCCATCTTCGGAAGAAGACATTGCTTCGCACCCTGCACACAATCCAGCACCCACCTCATCTGCATCTTCATCGCTTTCTGACGCCTCGTCATGGGCTGGCCTGGGCACCTTCAGCACGGCACTCGTGGGGGTGGGCGACGGGACCAACCTCGTCCTGTCTGTGCTCCCCGATTCTGACATCGAGTACCTCAACGTCGCTGCCAACCTCAAGGCACGGCCGCCACGCACTTACCAATTCTTTTTTTTAAATACAAAATTGAAAATTGAATTTATAGTTTTATTTTAATTAGCAATAATAATAATTAATTAATTAAAATTATCAATAATAATATACTTTTTGTATTCGTCAGGTGCCTTCGCCTAACGTGCCGCAACGGAACGCGCCGTCGATGGCAAGTGGTGAGGAGTCGACCACCGAGTGTGAGACCGAGACCGAGCCCCTGTCGCCCCGCGAGGGCGCGCCGGCGCCGTCGTCCAAGAGCGTCTCCTTCCTTCGTGCTTCCAAGGCCGCCGCTTCCTCGTCCATGCTCCGCTCCGGCGTCTTCGGTGCGCTGCGGTGCTCTGATGCGTGTTGTGTGTGTCGTGTGTGTGTCGTGTGTGGCTGATGGTGGGGCGTTGCGCGTTGTGTAGGCGGGACGGGGTTGAGGCTGGCGCAGGTCAAAGGCGAGCTCGTATCGGTCCGCTCGCTCGCCGTGCACAGTTCCCTGCTCGACACCAAGAAGGACATCATTCAAAAGTTGATGTACGTTCATGTAAGCGCACATCAGTTCCAGAACCCGTGATCACTAATCAATCGCTGTGTGTGTGTGTGTGTGTGTGTGTTGTGTGTGTGTGGTGTGTGTGTGTGGTGTGTGTGTGTGGTGTTGGGTCATGCGCGCAGTGCTATCCCAATGCAACACGAAAACGTGCTTTCGCTGAAGGGTCTCTACATCGGCGAGAACGAAGATGGGCTGGAGACCATGCGACTGCTGGGCATCAACGAACACGTCGAAGGCCTCATTGACGCCGACAGTCTCATGCGATCAGACCAGGATCTGTCGATGTTCATGCGGCTCCAAATGGCGAGCGCCTGCGTCGAAGGCCTGAAGGCGCTCCACACCAAAGGGATCGTGCACGGCGATCTCCATCTCGGCCGTTTGTTTGTACGCGCGTGCTCCCCCACCACTGGCGTTGCTTTCACTGCAACGTTAATTACTGAATCGTGTTGTGTGTGTGTCGTGTGTTGTGTCGTGTGTTGTGTGTCGTGTGTGACATTGGTGATGCTGTTGGTGGTGGCCACCAGGTGAACGTGCAACGTGAAATATTCAAGGTGGCTGAATACGGTGTCCACCGCATCATGGACCGGGAACCAAACGCGTTCCACGCCAGCCCCGAAGTCAACTCCGCCTTCCTCGCGTGCCACGAGCAAGACTACGCCGAGCCCGAGGAGCGGGAGCTCGACGACGAAACAGCTGCCTCAGCTTCAGCCGCGCCGACCAGCACCGAGCGCAGCAGCAGCGCCACGACCAGCGGTGCCGGCGACGGTTGCTCGCGCGAGTCGGACGTCTACTCGTTCGGCATCATCCTGCTGCAGCTCCTGTTCGGGCTGCGCATCGCCGACGTCGAGCGCCAGCGGAACAAGGGCAAGCTCAACGAATCCGCCTTCCGCAGCAAGCACGTCGACGTACCCTACGCCCCGCCGCCCGAGCTCCAGGACGTCAAATTGATCGACGAGGGAACGACGAGGGGCAAGCAGGAGCTGCTCAGCCTCGCCCTCGAGTGTCTGCACATCGATCCCGCGCAGCGGCCCCCACTTGAGAACGTGTGCAACCGACTCAGGTTCGGCAGCCGAGTGCTGTGGTGTCGTGTCCTGTTGCGTGTCGTGTCGTGTGTGTCGTGCGTGTGTGCTTACGATGGTTTCATTGTGTGTGTGTGTATGTGTGTGTGTGTGTGTTGCGACCACGCAGGAATGGGATCGTGCGCACCCTATTGGTGGACGATAACGTGCGCTCGATTTGGATGGACGCCTTGCACATCGAGCAGAAGCGGATGAACAGTCGCAAGAGCATCATACTCCACAAGGCCGAGAACGAGAACCGCATCATCAGCAGCGCCATCAACCAGACCCTGGGCCTCAACATTCCCAACCTCGGCGTACGTAGTATACATTCCATTCATTCCTTATGCATGTGCATTCGAATGTTAATATATACACACTGACCACCATCCACGCCGTGCAGAAGCTGAAGCGCCCCAACGCGCAGATCGAGCCGGCTGCCCCCGTCGACACCAATCTCCTCCCGTTCCAGATGGATTGGCAAAGCCTGTATGAGGTTCGTGTTCGGGAGTACCGCGTTCACCGGGACACACACACACCGCGCGCGCACACACACAGTCACACACTGGTGCTGACGTCGGTCCGTACGTGTGTGTGCCTGCAGGCTTTCTTCATCATCCACCTGCAGCAGCCCGCGGTCAGGGACGACGAGTGGCCGTCCAAGGAGAAGGGCACCCTGAGCAAGGCCAAGCGCAACCGCCTCCCGCACATCCTCGCCCTGCTCCTCATACACGAACTCATCGGTACGCGCGCAAGTCTTCTTCGTCATCGCAGTGGTGGTGGTCTGTGTTGGGTTTCGGCCCAGCGCAAGCACTGACGTACATTTCCGCCGCCAGCCAAGTGGGATCGTCTCGAAGCGCTCCGTATGACTTCGCGCGAGCGAAAGAACAGAATGCAAAGCACGCGCAAGTTTGGGTACGCCGTCCTTATTGTTATTTCCTTATAATATAATAATAATTGTTATTTGCATTATAATTATTATTTTTGTGCCGATCAGATTGCTCGAGGACACGTCGGGCCTGCTGTTGATGAAGCCCGAGCTCAAGGGCAGCGTGTCGATGAAGCAGTGGCTCCGCTTCTCCCAGTGGTTCCCCATCGGCCCGCCCAGCGACACCAAGATCCTCAAAAACGTAGCCAGCGACCCGTTTCCGTTTCGAACCACTCTAGCCGCTTAATTCACCATCGTGTGCATTGCGTGCGCGCCGTGTGCGCCGTGTGCGCCGTGTGCGCCGTGTGCGCCGTATTCAGGTGTGCGACATCATCGGCCACAAGTACTTCCAGCCCATCCAGTCGGCCAAGGAGGCCGAGGCGCTGCTCAGCGAGAACTCGTCGTTCGGAACTTTCCTCTTCCGCTTCTCCTCGCACCCTGGCGACTACGCCGTCTCCTGTACGTGTCCGCCCCGCGTCGGCCGTGTGTGTCGTGTGTCGTGTCGTGTGTCGTGTCGTGTCGTGTCGCATCTCACAGTCGGCCACACATCAGGGATTGCGCAGGTAGAGAAGGAGGGAAAGGTCACTCGGGTTCACCTGACGCACGACCGCTTCACCCGCACCGCCGACAACAAATTCAAGTACCGCAACAAGGTGTACGATGACCTGGAGGCAGTCTACAAGGCGCTCAAGCTCGAGAAAGGCCTGCAGGCGCCCTACCAGGTACCACACGACACACACGGCACACGGCACACGGCACACGGCACACGACACACGACACACGACACACGACACACGACACGCAACACGCGACACGCGACAGACCACAGACGACACAGGACACACGACACACGAGGGCAGGGAGCGCTGCGACCAACTTTGTAGACATACTCTTGTACTGACTCCCACCTTCCAGTCGAAGAACAACGGACTCGAGTACCTCAAGATCGCGCTGGAGAAGCGCGTGGACGAGCAGACGCTTCTAAAGCCCGGCGATATGTCGCCGGGCGAGATCGCGGCGCGAGGTCTCTACACCACCGACCCTTGTCATTTTCTCCCTTCGTTTGTCATACAAGCTCACACGCGACACACATGCGCGCCATTCAGGACGAGCCATGACTCGCGTCATCTCCGAACAGTTCGAGGGCGAAGAGATTCCCAAAAACCTGCGCAAGATGCTCGTCAAGGGTAACCTCCGCCGTGTTTCATTTACCCGATACATCATCACTCCACTCACGCCTTCGTTTCTGCCGTGTGTCGTTGTGTGTCGTCGTGTGTCGTGTCATGTCGTGCGTGTCGTTTCGTCTAGACGATGCGTGGGTGGGGCTGGACAGTGGCTATGAGCCGCTCTTCCTGCTGGACAGCAAGGAGGGCAAGCTGATGGTGCGCGACAACCGGAAGAAGAACGCCCACCGCGAACGATATGTCACAGTGGCCAACGGCTTCCTCGTCATCTACACCGACGAAACCAAAGAGCGAACGCTCAGGGTATTACTCCTCGCGACACCCACGACCGCACACGCACACGCACACCATCCTCCTCACGACTGCACAAGCACACGTGGCTGATCGGTGGATTGAATGTCGTGTGTAGGTCATCGCGCTGGAGGGGCTGGAGGTGATGAAGCACAAGAAGGTAAGCAAAGGCTGATCCTTGGATTGAGAGTTGAATACCCCATCGATCGCGGTGGTGCTGTCCTTCTGACTGTCATCTCGCCGCGCTTGGTAGGACGGCAAGATTGTGCGGCTCTACTGCGAGGCCCAGGGCGAGTGGCACGAGCTGATGGCGCAGGACTTCCGCGAATCGGAGCAGTGGGCCGCTGCGCTCCGTCGATGGACGCTCGTCCACAAAGGCATGACACCACTCGCTCCCTCCCCCCAATCATCAAAACTCTCGGATCTAAACTTGTGTGTGTGTGCGCGCGCGCGCGCGTGTGTGTGTGTGTGTGTGTGTGTGTCGTGTGTGTGTCGTGTGTGTGTGTGTGTGTGTGTGTGTGTGATTAGATGACGCGGTGACGTCGTACGCGCCGGAGCGACAGAACATCACGTGCCGTTGGTTCGTCGACGGGAAGGACACGTTCCTGGCCACGTACAAGGCCATCAAGGCGGCCACCTCGTCCGTCTTCATCACCGACTGGTGGATGGTGGGCGAGATCTACCTCAAGCGGAACCCGACCAAGGTCAAGCCGCACCACCGGCTCGACATGCTGCTCAAGCGGAAAGCCGAAGAAGGTTCGTTCGCCCGCCGCTTGCCACGTCATCATCACCTTGGCTCTCTTGAGTGTGACTTCGTGTGCGTGTGTGTCGTGTGTCGTGTGTGTCGTGTGTGTCGTGTGTGTCGTGTGTGTCGTGTGTGTGTGTTCGTAGGTGTGGAGGTGTACATAATTTTGTGGAAGGAAGCGGTGATGAAGCTGGGCAGCTATTACACCAAGAACAAACTCCAGAGCTTGCATCCCAACATCTACGTACGCACCCACTTCTCTACTCGCTCTTCGTCCCGTGGTGGGGTAATCTCACATTCCCTACATTCCACATCGTGTGCGTGTGCAGGTGATGCGGCACCCGCATTGGAAGAAATTCCCCGTCCACACCTACTCGCACCACCAGAAGACCGTCGTACTCGACTACGGCACCAAGCACGCTCAGGTACGCCGCCTTCTCCCTCACCGGCGCACGCACACCGCACACCGCACACCGCACACCGCACACCGCACACCGCACACCGCACACCGCACACCGCACACCGCACACGCGCGGTGGAATCGAATACGCGTTGTGGAATCGAATAACGCGTTGTTTGGGGACAGGCCTTGATAGGCGGCCTCGATCTGTGCCTGGGCCGGTGGGACGACAAGACCCACCCGGTCGTGGACGACAACCACATCAACAGGCGTTACCCCGGCAAGGACTACATCAACCCCGAGGCACCCAATCCCCTGTGTGTGTCGTGTGTGTCGTGTGTGTCGTGTGTGTCGTGTGTGTCGTGTGTGTCGTGTGTGTCGTGTGTGTCGTGTGTGTCGTGTGTGTCGTGTGTGTCGTGTGTGTCGTGTGTGTCGTGTGTGTCGTGTGTGTCGTGTGTGTCGTGTGTGTCGTGTGTGTCGTGTGTGTGGAACAGGGCTGACGTCGGGTGCGTGAACAGGTGGAGGGGTCGGTGACGTACGAGGACCCGTACCTGGACATGCATGACCGGGACACGGTGCCGCGCATGCCGTGGCACGACATCCACTGCCTCCTCAACGGCGAGGCGGCCATGGACGTGGGCCACAACTTCATCCAGCGGTGGAACAGCCATCGCCGCGCCATGAAGCCCAAGCACCGCAGCGACTACCCCATCCTCACCCCCGCCTTCAACCCCTTCCAAATCGAACGCGAAAAAGACGCCAAGAAAGGTACCGCGCACACTTCACCGCACACGCACACGCACCACCGCACACGCACCACCGCACACGCACACGCACACACATGTGCTGACCTTTGAGTTTGGTGGGCAGCGGCGTACAAGGCGCTCAATTTTACGAACCTGAAGGAGACGTGGGAGAAGCGGAAGGAGGAGAAGGAGGAGAAGCAGAAGCTGCGGGAGAAGGAGCGGCACGAGCGCAAGGAGAAGGACAAGGAGAAGCGCAAGGAGCGCGACGAGGAGAAGAAGAAGCGGCGCGAGGAGCGGCGCGGCATGGAGCGCAAGGGGAGCTACCTCATCACCAAGCTCAAAGAGAAGATCGAGGACCACAACAGCACCAGCGCGGCCGGGGCCGGGGCCGGGGCCGGGGCCGACGATACCGCGGCCGAGAAGCTGCAGCGCAAGCTCGAGCGCAAGAAGCGACGCGATGAAAGAGAGAAAGAGAAGGAAAAGGAGAAAGGCAAGGAAAAGGAGAAGGAAAAGGAACATGGAGAGGACGGTGATGGCGATGAGAAGAAGAAAAAGAAGAAAAAGAAGGAAAAGAGCAGAGATCAACAGCACGACGGCGATGGCGATGCGGCGGCGGCGGCCGAGGGCGAAGCCGAAGTGTCGACGGTGTCGACGACAGCAGAGGAAAGTGTCGACGCGGTCGGCGACCACCACCATCCCCTTGTCTCTAGTGTCGACAGCAATAGCACCCGCAAGAGCGGCGAAGTCGGCAGCGGCAGCGGCGGCGGCGGCGGCGGCGGTGCGAAGGAGGAGGACCCGAAGAAGCGGCACAAGATCCGGGACTTCCTGCAGAAGGAGAAGCAGCAGGTGAAGGGCGCGTTCGCCGACATCTTCGAGTACTCGAGCCAGGACATGCTCAAGAAGGCCGCGCCGCACGCGCACCATAGCGGCGAGGGCCAGTGGCACGGCCCGACCCACAACGCCGAGTGCTCGCAGTCGTCGCTCGACATCGTCTGTCGGTGCCAGCTCCTCCGGTCCTTCTCTGAATGGAGCGGTACGTGTGTCGTGCGTCGTGTCGTGTGTCGTGTCGTGCGTCGTGTCGTGTGTCGTGTCGTGCGTGCGGCGTATTTCATGTGTGTCGTGTCGTGTGTCGTGCGATGGTGGGCTAACATCGTAGGATCGCAGGAGGAAATCGTTTGGAGAAGTCCATCCAGATGGAGTACATCAATGTGATCAACAACGCCCAACACTTCATCTACATCGAGAACCAGGTACACTATAGTGCTGCTTTATATATATATACAGTAATTTATTTATATATGTATATATGGATGTGAGCTCATCTAACATGTTCTCTTCCTAAATATGTTTAACAAAATGCAGTACTTCATCTCGGGCCTGTCCAACTCGGGTCCGGTCAACAAGGTGGCCGAGGCGCTGGCCAACCGCATCATCCGGGCCGTCAAGGAGCAACAGCCCTTCAAGGTGCCGAGCGAAACCGAAACCGAAACCAAAATCGAAACTGAATCGAAATCGAAACGTTGTTCGTGTGCTGGCAGGTGGTGGTGGTGTTGCCCGTCCTGCCTGACCCCGGACCGCTGACCTGGCCCGGCCGCGCCGTCACCCGCCTGTACGCGCCTTTTTTTTTATTGATTTACTTTATTTATTTATTATTTATTTTAATTTATATCTCGCTTTTCGCAGGCACGCCGACACGATCTGGAACAGCAAGACCTCGCTGCTGTCGATGCTTCAGCAGAACGGAGGTGCGTTGGTGGCGGCATGCGCGTGTCGTGTGCGGTGTTGGCGACGACTCACAGCCGCACACACACAACCGCACACGCACACAACACACACACAAACACACGACGCCACGACACACGACGCAGTGAGTCGAGAGGCGGCGGGCGAGTACGTGAGCTTCCACGGGCTGCGGAACTGGGGCAAGACCGTGACCGGCAACTACCTCTCCCACCAGATCTACGTACACTCCAAGGTACCTGCAGCCCGGCCTCCCCAGCATCCACCGATCTCGCACAACTTCAACTCAACGTGTGTCGTGTCGTGCTGTGTGTGCGGCTGCGCGCGTCGTGCGTGCGTGTCGTGCGTGGTCGTGTGTGCGTAGCTTATAATTGTGGACGACAAGATCGCGATCATCGGTTCGGCCAACATCAACGACCGCAGCATGAACGGCAACAAGGACTCGGAGATCGCGGTCAAGATCACCGACACCGAACTCAAGCCGGGCCTCATGAACGGCCGCCCCTTCTCCGTCGGCAGGTTCTGCCACTCGCTCCGGTACCACCACCCACTTTCCTGTGCTGACGTGGCATATATCAATATAAAACTATATTCAATACTAATATATATACATCTATATATTCATATATATTAACTATATATATATAAAAGGGTGACGCTGTGGAAGGAGCACCTGGGGATCAAGGAGCGGCACCGGGAGAAGGACAAGGAGCAGGAGCGGGACCTCATGCGCACCATCTGCGACCCCGTGGTGGGCTACGACTACTGGAAGGCCATCTCCAAGCAGAACTCGCTCGCCTTTGCCAAACTCTTCCCCTGGACGCCTCAGGTGCGCGCGTGCGGTGTGCGTGCGTGTGTGCGGTGTTGGGCGTGTGCGGTGTGTGCGGTGTTGGGCGTGAGTGGTGGGTGCGGTATGTGTGACTGATGGATGTGTGTGTGGCATTCTTAGGATGCCATCGGCACGCTGGAGGAGTGGAGGGAGCGAATGAAGGACTGGGAGCGGCAGCGCGACGACCACGCGCGTCAGCAGTGGGAGCTCGCGCGCGAGGTGCGCGCCCAGCAGAAGAAGAAGCAGAAGGAGAAGCAGCTCAAGGAGCAGAAGGAGGCCACGCTCAAGGACCGCGCGCGCCTCGCCCGCAAGAAGTCGATCAACCACATCAACCACGACGCGGGCGATGACGTCAGCGGCGGAAGCGGCAGCGGCAGCGGCGACGGCGCGGGGGAGGTGGCCACCAAGGAAAAGGAGGCCGTGGCCAAGTCGGCGTTCGAGGCCGAGCTGAGCGGGATCGTGGGCCACGTGGTGGACTACGCCTTCCTGTTCCTCCAGTACGAGAGCATCTCCTTCAGCGAGCACCTCACCCTCACCGCCGTCGGCACCCTGCCCGTCACCGCAGACATGTTCTACTGAGCCCTTGCTCCCTCTGTGCTGTCTCGCCCACACAAAAAATGCAAACATTTTGGTACCTAAACAAAACCTGCTTCTCACCACATTCGCGTTTGGTCCCACAATAGACGAATTCTGGACAGTCACCCTGCTCATAGCGGCCAGGTCATGCGGTCTGGGTCGGGCGTGGTGCCTCTTGTCAATGAGTTACTTCGAATTCATTTCTACAACCCTTGGTGTGCAACGGCTCGTCACCTTCCTTGGCCTGTGGTCCGCGGACTCCAGCTGTGAGTCCTCAGCCCGGGCCATGTAGGAGGTGTACCCAACTCATGACGCTACCACCACCCTTTTGGCACATTCTCTACAACATAAATTTTTACGTTGAAGCTGTTCTTGTCCTATTCACGTCTTGTCCCACAATGGCAGAACGTGCTTGTGGCGGCACGCACATAGACCAGCCTCCAGCCTCTTGTCATAGCGGGCGTGGTGCCTCTTGTCAATGAGTTACTTCGAATTCAATTGAACAACAACCGCTGGTGTGCTAAGGCTCGTCCGCCTCCCACGGCCTGTGGTCCGAGGACTCCAACTGTGAGTGCTCGGCCCGGGCCAATGTGGGAGGTGTACTCAACTCATGACGCTACCACCACCCTTTTGTTTGAGATTAATAACTCGAGCCAGCTACAGACTCTGAGACTCCATCCATCCATCCAGAGAGAGAGAGAGAGATTGTTTTTAGTGTGTTCTGCTATGTACAGGGCCAATGATTGGTGAAGGTGGTTCAGTGTACAGGGATGGGGATGGCGTGGTGGGTACGGTTGTGTCGCAGGTGGTCCGCTGCCGCTGGAATGTCGTCATCATGTCGCTGCTGCTGCTCCTGCTGCTGCTGTGCCAAAGAGCCGCTGCTTATTTCGAGCGTCTTGACGTGGTGCGCCTTGTCCACGTAGAGGTAGCACATGTTGTCATAGCCACACTTGGCCACTCCTTTCCCTGTCGTACCATAACAACTGCTGTCAGCATCGCAACACACGCGACACACACACACAATGACACACACATCAATGCAATAATGGTGTAGAAGTTGACCTTGCGTTGCTGGTTTGGCGTCTTGTTGTGTTGATGTATCGGTGATGGTCGATGTGGGTGGCGAGGCGACCCAGGTGGAGCGCCGGAAGTGGGTAGTCCTGGTCTCCTCCTGCTCCAGAATGACGCGCGCCGTCGGCGACCATCCCATGTCGCCGTGCGTCGACGAGCCGACGAACATGCCGGGTCCCTGCAGCAGGAAGCTCAGCGCAAAGATCGCCACTCCCTGCACGACACACACCGGCGCACGACACGACACGCGCACACACGAGTCAGTCACGGTGGGCGTTGCGCATGGCCGGACACCACCCAAGGGTGCAGGGCAGATTGGGGGTCGTACCAGCAAGCAGACGCCTCCGGCCACGGCTCTGGGCGACTGGACGGACGCACTGCCGAGGCCCAGCGAGAACCACGACGAAGGGCTCGACGGCGCGGCGCCGGGGTAGTCACCGTCGTCGTCTCGCTGTCGTTTGTTGTTGGCGTTCGTCTTCTGCTTCTTTTGGCTGTGGTGGAAGTGCTGCATCTGTCGCAGCGCCGAGCGCAGCCGCGTGTTCTCTGACGTCACGGCCGCCAGCTTCGAATTGAGCAGCACCACCTCCGACTGCAGCGCCGAGTTGTGTGTCCTCTGCGGTGGTGCGTGCGTGAGTTGAAAGGCAACAAAGGCGAAGAAGAAGAAGAAGACGACGACGACAAGCGAGTCGATGAGACGTACGAGTTCGCTGTTCTGGGTGCGGAGGCTGTTGAGCTCGCCCTCGAGCTCCTGGTGGGCCGATTTCTTCTTCTTGCGCGACTCCTGGGCGTACTCGCGGTTCTTGATGAGCCGCAGCTGCTTCTTGAGCTGCTTCTCTTCAGCGTGGGTGAGCTCGCGCGACGACTTGAGGGTCTGCAGGTAGGCCTCCATCTCCGAGCTCGACAGCTTCAGCAGCGTGTCGCGCGGCAGCACCACGCCCGACGTCGCCGCCGCGATCTCGCTCGGCACCGCACCGGCTGTGGCGGCCCTGCGTCGCTTCTTCCCCGCGGCACAGTCGTCGTCATCAGCGGCGGCAGCGGCGGCGCTCGCGGGGTTGATGATGCCCGCGGGCCGCACCAGCGGCTCCCCGAGATGCTGGCGATAGCTGCCCGACGTGGGGCTGCTGACGACTGCCTTGGATGAGATCGGCACGACATCCATAGGCGCCGCTACGCCGACATTACCGATGATTGATCGCATCTGGTCATCATGTGCAGCGAAGATGGGCGAACGAGGAGGAAAGGGTTCGATGCTGGGCAACGTGCTCGTGCTCGTGTTCATACTCGTGCTGCTCGAGGGGCTCGGCGCTTCGTCCTTGATGGCGAGCACGGGGAGGGAGAACAGGAAGTCGTTGTAGGGCGATGTCTGGGGCGAGCTCTGCGGCGATGATTCCGAACCCGATTCGGGGGATGACGGCAGCGTAGTGGAAGTAGAGATGGTAGGATAATAAAAAGGAGGCGTAGTAGAGATAATCGTGGATGTAGCCTCCATCTCATTTGAGAAGGGGTTGGAATTCCATTCGAGGGTATCTGTTGCCGCACCCGAATCGTCGGCGGAACCGAGGGTGAGGAAGAGATTTGCCCATTCCGATTCGCTCAATGGCGCAAGTCCATCTATGCCAGCCATAGCCTGATCGTAGCCATCTTCTAGCATGAACGACGATGCCCCCAGCCAATTCCAACTGGACCAGGTCGTTCATCCTCTTACCGTCTCAGTTCTGTTTCCTCTTCTCGAGATGCTTGACTTCACTTCTTCATCAAAATACCAATCGCGTAATCATCTTCGCCGACGTCGGCGTCCCGCGCCATTGGCCTGTGCGACGTCGGTGGAAACTCTTTTCTTCGACATTTCTTCTGGCCACCAACGCAGTCGCATTCTTCGCATTCCAGATTGGTAGATTGGTCGTGTTTGTGTTGACGATGACAATGATGATGTTGTAGTGTACATGTGTGTTGACGACATGATCGGGCAGCGATCTCTTCACGACGAGGAGATGGAGTCGTCGCCCGTGGCGCCACCACCGGTGGTGTCGACCGCCATCGACGACGATGACGGTTGGTCGAGCATCTCGGCGCGGCTGTCGGCAGAGGAGGAGAAAGCCGACGTCAGCCCGCGGCTCTTGGCGTAGGAGTACCACAGGCGGAAGACGCTCTTGCGCTTCGAGTAGACGGTGAAGATGAGGAGCGTGAGCGGGAGAAGCTCGACGACGATGACGAAGATGATGGCGCCCACAGCGCTCATGCTCTGGTCGACGGTGCCGTAGAGCAGGAAGCCGCACATGCACAGAAGCGACAGCGTGCACACTGCCAGCACCACCGAGAACTTGATCATCTTGTTCCGCTTCATCTTGGCCAGACGCTTGCTCATGCTCTTCACTCTATACAGCGTCAGCAACACCCACACGCCGTACACTGCGTCGCATGTGTTGCGTGTGTGGTGTCATGTTGCGAGTTGCGTGTGTCGTGTGTTGGGTGTTCGCGTGAGTGACGCCCAGGCAGAGACCGATAAGCGAGCGAGTCGCGACAGTACCGGCAAAGGCGATGGCGAGGACGAGGGCTACGGCGATGATGACCGATTGGTAGAAGATGGCGAGGCCGGTGCGTGCGTCCTTCATCTCGCTGTTGGGGTCGGACTGGTCCAAGAAATAGGGCGACGAGCACGACGTCTGCAGGGGAAACGGGAGTCGGGCGCTGGGTGAGTGAGGGACGAATCGCGCTGGGCTTCCCCATCATTGAGGGGAGAGAGCGTACGTCGGTCGACGAGATGCTGGCCTCGAGCGCGATGAAAATGATGACGAGGACGAGCAGGAAGGCGTAGAGAAATCCGTTCACGCCGAGGAACATCACCTTCATTCGTTTGAGCACCGATTGGCCGCCCTTCTTCTTCAGCGCCCAGTGCACCAGTTCCACCCTTTACACACCACTCAGTTCAGTGCGTGTGCGGTGGTGCGTGTGCGGCGGCAAGGTGTACCAGAAGAAGAGGAGCAAGGTGTAGATGGAGAGGAACAGGTAGACCGGCACTTCGCCCAGGATGACGTAGACCACCACGTTCACATTGTTCAGCACACCGGTGGGCAGCATCGCAAAGTAGATCACCCTCACTGTGGGCCGGCGCACCAAAGTCTGGTGTCAGCCGTCATCGATTCAAATGAAGGCGAAGGCGAATGGAGTCGTACAGATGAGGATGGCTTCGATGCAGCAGTGGATGATGCGGCCCATCGACAGCAGAGTCCACGCGACCGACCCGAAGCTCTTGTCTCCCGAGTCTGACAGCTCCTGCGCGCACGCAGAGGCTCACATCGATTGAGCCCTTTGCTCGCTTGAGGAGGCCTAGGCCTAGGCACGTACGTATCTGAAGAGCCAGAACTGATTGATGATGGCCAGGGTGTTGGGGATGAGGAGCAGCGCGTAGAGGGCGACGGCCAGGTAGAACAAGGCCACGGTGCTCGTGCTCAGACTCTCGATGAACGTTTCGCCTGCCCAATCACCACTCTCTCTGCAATGTACTTCACCGTCAGTCCCTCCCCCCACAGCACACGCACCACCGTGCGCGCACTCACGCACGCACGCACGCACGCACGCACGCACGCACGCACGCACGCACGCACACACACACAGAATGGGGTGCGAACCGCCAGACGGGGAAGATGGTGTTGAGGTCTGGCGGGTAGGGAAGCGGCAACGTGCCGCAGATGAGGCCTTCGTCGGTGATCCTCACGTTCCGGGCGTTCATCGGCGTCCACTCCGAATAGTCTTCGTTGCTGGAGATTGGTGATACAATACAAGGTTAGGTGCTAGAACCAAATCTCATCTCCACTAGCGGCTGCGGGAGGTCATGCCACGCACCTGAAGGCGAGGTCGTATTCATCGAAGCTGCTGTCGAGCGCAATGTCGGAGCGCACGTACATGCAGACCGTGAAATCGGCCTGTGTTGATTGGATGAACGTTTGTCCGGTTAGAAGCAACAATCTTGCGGGTTGGAGAGGAAAGGCAATGGTACGTCGGTTGCGGAGGTGATGATGTGCGCTTTCTGTCCGCCGTTGGTGAGCTCAATGCGCAGGCCATCGCCGATCAGCTGGCCTACGATCACTCCGTGCGAGTTCTACAGGCAACACAAGAGCATTCGATGAATCAGGAAGATTGTCGAATGATAGTGTGCGACATGGACGTGTGGTACCTCGACGATGGAGTAGCCCTCTGGCTCGCTCTCGATGGCCTTCACGAAGATGTTGGAGACAAACGTGGTGTCGCCCTCCTTCTGGAACTGCGACACGGCGACCGAGTACACATTCACGTCGACGCAAGTGGGATCGAACGCCAGCTCCCTGGTCCACGACACCCGGCCCACACCGGGCAGCTGTCCCCCGCCAGTAGACCCACAGGTTAGTCGGTCAACATGCGCTCGGGCTGTTAGATTGAAGGCGGGAGGTTGGTAGGGTGACGCACCGGAAGGTGAAAGTCTGTGTGAGAGCACGTGCGGGAGACTCCGACGGTGACGCCGACGTTTTGGCCGCAGCTGCCGTCCCACGTCGATTCGAGACAGGAACAGGTCACCGCGCTGAACATGTCGATCAGGCGATTGTACCTGACACACGACACGAACGGGCGAACGCGCAGGTCAACTTTGTCAACCTAACAGTGCACCCACGGGAGTAGAACTCAGCTGGTGCTGCGTACCGGCAGAACTGGTCGGACTTAAACTGGGAGGAAAGCTGCGAGATCTGCGCGGCTGTGGAGAGGGTGGCGTAGGCGCTGAGGCTGAAGTCCTCCACCAGTCGCTTGTTGTACTGGGTCGTCCAATTGCGCTGCTTCCACTCGAATCCTTGCCACCTCCCGCCCGGGTACCTGACATCGGCGATGTTGTCATCACGTTGAGCCACCCACCACTCATGTGCCATGTCGTGCGCAGTACCAGGTGCCCTGATGCCAGTTGTAGTAGGGCGTGGGAGTGCCTCCGGCAGCCAAGCAGGCGCTCTCGTTCTTGGGCGACAGGAAGGCCGTGCCGGGGTTACCCATCACGCTCTCGGCGTAGGTGTACGTCTCCTCGAGACAGCCCATTCCTAAGGTCAGCACATCAAGCTTTTAGTTCCGAGCCTGCATATTGTAACTCCGAACAACGATTCAGTGAGTTCGTACCGTAGGCCAGACAGTCGCCCTGGGTCGCGGCCGACCGCATCCACCGCGGGGTGCCGTACTTGGGGACCGAGGCAAGACAGTCGGCTTCGGAGTACACGTGGTAGTCGATACACCCCACGCGGCCCTGCTTGGCCCACTCGGGGCACGACACCGTGACGCCGAACGAGTCGGCCTCCAGCTGGAACGGATACACGCACACTCCATCGCTGCAGCACCGATGAATGTCGCCATCAGCGATGATGGCCTGACCCACACCAGCACACGCACATAAAGAAAGGAAAACGGTACATGGGGTCGAATGGATCGCCGGTGGTCACGTTCCGGTACAGCAGCGGGTTGGTCAGTTCGGCGTCGTCGCATGCCCCTGCGGCCTCGCAGTCGGTCTGATTCGCGCACGGGCCGTACGCGCAATCGACAGTGCACCAGGGCGTGCTCTCGCAAGTGGTCTGGAGTGGGCCAATCAGTGCTGATCGAGTCGAATTCGGGAAGGGAGACGTGGGTGCGTACTTGATCGATGCCAGGACCGTGCGGGAAGCACGACCCGGCGGTGCAGGAGCTGGCCGTGTCGAGCGCAGGCAGGTTCCATGCGAACTCGTGGTTCCAATAGAGCAGGGAACCGTAGGGACTGAACAGGCACTCGGAATAGCTCTGGTAGGATTTCAGCACACAGGACTGGGCCACCGGGTTCCACCTGAAGGTAAGGCCGGTTCGTGTGAGCCACTACTACCACTATCGGTACTACCGGCACCAACTCTATGGGGGGGACTGGGGTTGGGAGGCGAGACGTACACGCACGGGCCGCCAAACAGGTCCTCGCAGACCTGGGGGTTGCACAGGAGCTCGTAGTTGGCCGTGGCCGTGCTGTGCAGGTGGCAGTAGCTATCGCACACGTAACGAGACTGGCCGTAGGAATCGACCTGAATGTTCCCGCCGCAAGATCATCTCAGGTTGGGCGGCATTGTCGTGTTTGAAAGCTGCAGTTGTGGGTGGAGCGGGGCCAGTCACGTACCTCCAGCCGGACGTACTCACAGTCGCCCAAGAACCACTTGTTGACGGTGCCGTAGGACGATGAAGTCAGACACAGATGGGCTGAAGTCACCAGCCCCATGTCAAAGACGCACTCTTGGTCGATGTAGTTCTGAGACGACACAGACAGGTCAGTTCTTACCAACCAAGATGACCAAAGGGGGGGCTGCGCGTCGCGTGATACTTACGAGTATACGTCCGGAGAGAAGAGCATCTTGAACCACTCACAGCCTTTCCCGTTGTCGATGATGTTCTTGTCTCCCGTCATGTAACAACCCCAGTATTGCGACACCTGAGCGTGACGCCGCCGAATTCGGTGTTGAATCAGCGAACGCGACCCGCGAGCAGCTCGACAACCTACGCACCTCGAAGCAGGACTCGGGATCCTCGGCAGAGCACAGCCCGCAGAAGTGGTCCGGTTCAGCGGGGGTCGTTGCATAGGTCTTGTTCTCGCAGTTGGACTCGCAGTAGTAGTCCCTGAGCGCGCCGTACGCGGCCGATTGGTGAGAACAAAGCAACCAGAGACGAGTGGTTGGTGGTGGCAGGAGAGATCATCGCATGAAACCTGTTGCTGGAGTTGAATGGTTTGATCTGGCACGGTGCCCAGTTGCAGCTGGGCGAGCCTTCGCAATGTCCCGTGCGCGAGTACATGTCGATCTCCGGTCCGCCCTTGCAGGTCGCTGCATCACATGCCACCATCAAATCAGCGTTCGATGCAATGCCGTCAACCAAGGGGACAGGACATACGTGCGGTCACGTTGGCAACGAAGACGTCGAAGAAAGCCAAGCCTTCTGACTGCGCGTCTGCGTGGGAAGGCCAGCTGTTAGGTGGTGTGCACACAGCCCCCATCTAGGCCGGACAATTCGCGTACCGGTCAGGCCCCACTGAGCGCGAATGTAGTTCTTCTCCTCGTCGCTCATCTTCTCCATAACACACTGTCGGAGGTGATCGGTTAGAGACCATGACAGAGGCCGGTCTAATTGAGTCAGAAGAGCTTGGGTCGCACCTCGGCGAGGAGGGCATTCTGTGCGGCCACATCGAGCGGCACATGGGAGCACGCCCCGCCCCACTGGCATGTAGAGTTGGTGGGGCAGTCGGAGTCCACCTGGCACGGAATCGCGCAGCGGCGAAACACCGAGCAGGCTTGGCCTGTTGGCAACCGATCGGATTGATCAGCGCATGACTCGCCGCAAGTTGCATTGCGCGCGCGCACCTTTGGGGCAGTCGATGACCGAGTCGCAGTAGGTGCCCAGCAATCGCGCTTCACAGTCCCCGCCATGATCCTGACTTCGGAACCCTCCGGCCTGCACACAAAGACCAGCGCTCGAATGAGACGTGACAGAGCAGAGACCATGAGGTGTGTTGGTGAAGTACGTCGATGATGTTGGCGGCGCAGTTGCGCGTGGGGTCGTCTTCGAACTCCATCGAAGCAGCATAGTCTTCCAGGGAGAGGTACATGCAGCCCGGTTCCGAGCTGCACATTGCCTCAACGCGCGCTTGCACAGCTTCGCAGGTGGTCACAGCGTAGTCGATCTCCCGTGCCACGCAGTTGTCCTCAAACAACAGCCTGCCCATCGCAATGAAGTCTTTGGTCAGCCCACTTGCGGACTGTGTGAGGAATGCATGGTCGATTACGCACAGGTTGTTGCAGCAGGGGTCGGTGGTGGCGTTGAACGCTGGATCGACCGATGAGCAACGGATGCTGCTCTGTGTGGTGTTGTACGTTGCCTTCTTCCGCACAAACGATTGGTCGACCCACGACTTGCAGCCGAACCACCCATCACTGTCGTTCTCAACCCGGACCCCATGTCAGTGTCCTCCTAGACAACCTCCCGTTGTCCCCGGGCCGGGGAATGAGTCACGTACGTGGCAACAAAGGCGTTGGAATAGAAGAGAAGCTGGTAGAAGTTGTCGTTGCTGGTGGCAGTGTCGTAGAGGGCATTGAGACTGTGCAGACCGGCTACGGCTGCCTCGAACTTAATCTCGTCGCACTCAGGCTCGTACAGCTCCAAGGGCGCGCTCTCTGCCACACTCTGATATGCAGCGTCAGTGCCGGGCACCACATCGCTTCTATATGACCCGTCTGCGGCGCACCTCCCCATCAGCGTTGACAAGGTTGACGAAGGAGACGCTGCAGTTTGCCAACGAGGGCTCGTAGGCCTCGAGCAGCTGATGGGGCGAGACCGTTTCGACTTGCCTCCAGAACGACACCTGTGCATCGTTGCTCTCAAACTGAACACCCGGGAGCCTGAGAGCCGCACGCGCGTAAGACATCTGTTGCAGTTGGCCGAGCGAAAGCAAGTGATTCCCCCACGTACGGGTCTTTGCCGCGCATGGCCAGGTAGTGCATGCCCGTTTCGTTGGAGGGAAGGGTGATGCTGTGCCACCAGCCAGCGGTCAGGCTAGTGTTAGGCCGGCAGTAGCGAATTGCGAGGAGGGCAGACGTACCCGGTGTTGGTACAGGAGGGGTCGCTCCACGTCGAGCATTCCGAGTCTCCACAGGTGACAGTCATGTCGACTGTGGCACAGGTGGCCACGCATGACTGTGAGTTTCCTTAATCACATCGAGTGTGCGGTTGGCGTACTGTATCGATAGAAATACTTGGCGGGAAGCAGCTCGTTCATGTCGTAGATGAAGAGCTCGTAGGTGACGTTGGAGTTGGCGTAGACGTTGATGAAGAGCGGCTGGTTGGCGTCGAAGTTGGGACTGCCCTGCCCGCAGCAGAAGGACCTGGGGACCGGCCGGCTGTTGCCCGCGCTGCTGCCCCAGTAGTAGCCGCTGCCCGACGGGTAGACCACCGAGTCTTGGCCCATGTACAGCGCGACGCTGCCCGACGAGGGGAAGGCCAGTACGATCAGGTTGGAGCACGGCGGGAAGGTCAGGGCGTAGAACTTGTTGTCTCCCGCCGTGAGGGTCGCCTTGTCGTACACGTAGCCTGCACAAATCGTGGACGATGTCACTCAGCAAGCACGAATCGTACACGATCTCCGAAGCGAGTAGCGCGACGGAAGGAAGATGAAAAGATGAAAAGATGAACGTGTACCCTGGGTCATGTTGAGACAGGTCTGGTTATCGTAGCAGGTGGTCCCGGTGAAGGGCGTGCTGCTGTCACAAGAGCTGCTGCACGTGGAGGCCGAGCATCCGAGGTAGGACACCGCATCCGCCACGTAGAGAGTCTCGTTGAAGAAGACGTCACCGTAGTCGAACTGCACCGTCATCCCCAACTCTGTTGTCGTTGTCCAAGTCAATAGAGACGGTCAGTAGTTGATGCAGTTGGCCCCTCCCCCGTTGGCCAACACCAGGTCCGGAACATGTTTATGTTGCAGGCCCCAATCGCAAAAAAGTGGCGGCCCGCACACCACTTCCGTTTTAGGAGCTAGTCTTGAGATAGGGAGAAGGAAGATGAGGGAGAAGGAGCGCCACAACGTTGATGGTTTGGGGGAGGGAGGGAGGGAGGGTTGTGGCCATTGTGTGGGGGGAGGGGGTAAGATCTAGAAAAATGGGCCGAACCTGATGCCTGCCGCATGGAGTGGCGCGCTCTCTGAATGACGGGCGCTGAGTCGACCAGGGCGATCACCAGCACGGCCATGGCGAGCGCCACCGCCAGCCACGACGCCCCCGTCCATGTTCCAGCAAGGCCACGCCCACCACGCTCCCATCTCATGGTGCCCTCCCGCTGCTCTCTGTCCTTCGGATGTGCGCGTGTGTGATGTCGGTTCGGCAAGTCCCGGGAAATTAGGTCAATCAATGGTCGGTCGGTGAAGGCAACCAACGCCCGTGCGGAGTGGCGGGTATCGTGGTTGGCTGGTTTTATGTATTTTTATCGAATGACGCATTTTTTGTATTTTTATCTTTGTTTGCTGTCGCCTGCGGCCCTCAGGCGATGTATTTGAGGAGTGTGCGGTCGTTGGCGTCGCGGTCGAGGAAGCCTCGCTCGATCAGCGACTCCAGGCGCGCCTTGAGCAGCTTCGCCTGTGGCAGGAACCTCACCTTTAGGATGTCCACCACCTGTTGTGTGCGTTGCGTGTTAAGTGTTTCAAGCACACATGTGCGGTGCGGTGCGTCGGTGAGGAAGATGGAGAGGGAGATGGAGGAGTCACCTGAAGCTGAAGCTCGGTCCACGAGAGCACGTTTCGAGACTTGAGCACGCGGACCATGGCCGCATCCACCTCGAACGCTCGCTGCTTCACGACGGCCACCTGATCCTGCTTGGCCTGCTTGGATTCCTGCTTGGCGCTTCCGGCGGGGAAGGCAACGCGCCGCTTCTTCTTGAGGTCGATCTTGACAGTGAACACGTCGTCGTCGTTGATCTTTTCAGCGCTGGACTCCGCATCGACTTCGCTCTCGCCGCCCTTCGCCGATTTCTCCGCCTGCCCCTGGCACGAGTGGACGTGAGTTTTAGCGGCAATACACACGACACACACACGACACACACGACACACACCTCGGTTTGAACTTCTGCGGGACTCTGTGTGGAGCGCTCGAGTGCTGTGAAGCTCCAGCAGGCCAGAGGCTGAATGGCGGCCTTGAGAATCTCCATGAGGTTGATGTCGTACTCGGACGAGCGCGACGCCCGCAGCTTGGCCCGGGACTGGTCGCCGGGCCACAGGACGGCCTTGATCTCGTTGAGCGCCCAGGCGTCCTTCTGGTTGAAGAGCAGCAGGATCGACGCCTGGAGGGGCGTCACCACCAATTCCCGCTTGGCCTTGCCCTCCGTGGTGGACAGCATCACCGTTCCGTGGTTGTACAACCAGCGCAGCTGCTTCGATCCGCCTATTTAACAAATATATTTATAAATTAATTAATCAATCAATCAATTATACGACAAATTGCATTTATCTCAAAAATATTTTTAATATCTTTAGTAAATAAATTCAAATGAATGAGGGCGGGAGGTACCGGTTTCGTGTTTGTAGAACTCTTCGAACTTGGAGACGGACGCGACGAACTCGGACGACTGACCGGGGAGGGGGAACTTATCGACGCCCGAGATCGGCCAGAACGAGTCGTTCAGCACCTGCACCGACAACTGCAGCCCGGCCACCTGTTGTTTTTTACGATGGTCGCGTGCGTGCGTGCGTGCGTGCGTGCGTGCGTGCGTGCGTTAGTCCGTCGTGATGGACAGACGAGTGGTGGCGACATAGGCCGTGTGAGGTGGCCCACCTTGTCGGAGTCGCCATTCCATTCCTGGAACCGCTGCTTGACCCGGGCGATGGACTCGTCCTCGGCGTCGGTGAACATGCCCTGGAGGCGCCGAGTGAAGGAATTGCCGCACTGGGCCTTGAGCAGGGAGATGAAGTTCTTCTCTGCCGTTTCGTCGAAACCGGACCCGCGCGCCAGCAGGCGCTTGCACAGCCCGCGCCGGGCGTACTCTGCGAACTCGTCCTTGTCTCGAAAGTACGAGAACAGCCGCGCGATGTCCTGCCACCCCGTCACCGCGACCCAAGGCGTGTGCGCTGTCAAACCAGCTGACTCTACCAACCCGCGAGCAGAGGGGAGGCCGTGGGTGAACCTCGAGCTGGGCGGCCTTTTCCTCTTCGGCGATCTTGGCCTTGCCCTTGAGCAGGTAGTCGAGATAGAAGTTGAGCAGCCTGCGCGCACGCGCGCGTGTAGAATGGTTAGGCGGTGCTTTTCAGAGAAGAAGCGACAGTGACAGAGGTGCAGAGACGTGCCTGGACGTGGTGAATTTGCCCGCGCTCAGGTTCATGATGGTGACGAAGGCCTTGTCGAAGGCCTCCTTGAAGCTGGAGTTCTTCAAGAAGCACTGGTCGACCTGCGCCGAATATTTGGTGTAGAGCTCCGCCGTCTGGTCGCCGGTGGTGTGTTGGGCGTTAGTGACCTTGGGCGACACTGGACTTGAAAGGGGGAAAAAAAGCGGTACCTGTTGGATGAAGCTGATTGCAGACTTCATGGCAGCTTGGGCGGTCTTCTTGGAGGCCTGTTCCTTGACGATCGCCACACCCTGCGCGGCGACGTGCTCCTCGAAGGTCTTGGCACTGTTGGTGAGTCCGTTGGCCACTCGCGACAGCAAAAAATAGAATCGCGTCATATCTACCACACACACCACACACACACCACACACACACACCACAACCACACACACACCAGGGAGAGTGTGCGTGAGTGCCACTGTCGTAGGTGAGCGTGGAGTGGGACTCACCCTGCTGCCTGTCGGCGGTGAGCATGCTCTTGAAGGTCGCCTGGAGCGATTCCATGTGATTCTCGATCAATGCAAAATTGAGCGCTTGCTCCAGCTTGGCCAGGGTGTCCTTGTAGGAGGCCTCGCAGTTGCTCGACTCCTCTTTGATGCGCTCTTCGGCCTGTGCATTCGCGTGGTGCACATCAACGTCGTGTTAAAAAGCAGTTCACACGACAAAAACACACGACACACGACACACGACACACGACACACGACACACACCACGATAGTGCGTTGCAGGCGCGTTACCTTGGTCATGTAGTCCGAAATGCTGTTGGAGGACAAGAAGTTGGTGGACTCGTTGACGTAGTACGCCTTGGTCTCCTCGAGGAAACGAGCCTCGAACTCCTGTTCGTAGAACTTGCGCGAGTCGTCGAGTGCGATCGCGTCTGCGCGCGTGAGCACCACCAGACACGACGTCAGCGACAACACACATCATGCACCCTCTCCCTAGACACGAATCGAAAAGCGTGTTCGTGTGTTCGTGCAACGTACTCAGACTCTCGATCATGTCCCTGACGAGGGACTTGTCGAGCATGGCGCCGTTCCTGTCGCGTTCGATGTACGAGAAGAGCGCTGAGAGGAGCTGCTCCTTCAGCGCCTTGTAGCAGTACTCTCGCCACACCCAGATCGACAGCTGAGAACGGAAGCGGGAGAGTGAGTAAAATGCAAACGGCCCGGTCGAGCCGGCGCCAGCACATCAAGAAGACGACGAAGAGAGTGTAGCAGTGCGTGCGGCGTACCGGTGCAATCTCGCGCACGTCCTTCTTGGACGCCCTCTGTGAGGGAATCCAAAAGCGAGCCTGTCCGGTGGTCAGGGTGAGTGAGCACGGTGGTGCCGGGTCATGTTGAGAGAGAGAGAGAGGAATGGCCGGCTGGTACCAGAATCTGAGAGGTGTTGGCGATGGCACGAGCAGAGGAGCGGTAGATCTCAAAGGTCTCGAGGTACTTCTTCAGAAGCGAGACATCCTTCAGATCAGCCAGTTTCTGTACGTCAAGTAGAAGAGATTAGGGTCCCCTTAAAAAGAACTGGATTGAGGCCGGCTGGTAGGCGCTGGGTACCGTGTTGATGATGTGGGCAACCTGCTTCACGAAGCTCGCGCGAAGGCAGTTGTAAAGGCCAAGCTCGTGTCGGTCAGTGCCAGTGCACAGCTTGTAGCAGGTACTGCACATAGATGAAAAACACAAATTAGTCCACCAAGAGGGTGCCAGCCCAACGTTTGATGGCCGCCAGGTGCAAGGTTTGCCTCAATTGAAATTGAAATTGCCAATTGAATTTTACGAAATTGAATGAAGAGGCAAAGATTCTCGAGAATTGAATGAAGAGCAAGGGGTCGGGGCTGCACGTACTCATAGTGCCCCATCCATTCTTTCCTCGTCAAACTTTCCTTGTTGTCAATGGCGTTCATTATCTTGTGGCACCCAGCCGCGAGGGTGTGCAGCGAAGGGTGATCATCTTCTATCACTTCCTCTGCCATCATTTTCTGACTGTCCAACGCTGGCCACGCTCTGGCTGTTTCTTGTGTTGTTGTTCTGCCTCAGTTTATTTCGGTTCTCCTCCTTCACTAAAATGGGCGCAATATATCTTTCCATTTTCTTGAATTGCATTAATTGTTATAAATGCAAGATTTATTTGCTGATCCTGGTTGAGGTCAACCAACTGCTGGTCCTTGCTTGGCGCCCAGGTAGAGCATGACCGTCAAGCCCTTGCATTCGCGAGTGATTGGGCCTTTGCGAAAAGCTGCGTAGCAAGCCTTGTTCTGCGTGAGCCAAAAAGTGGCGGGAAAAGATCAAAACAAAACAAAACAAAAGTAAATCTGCGCAACAAAAGCGATGGAGGGAGATGTTGAGTGGGTCCAACAGATTCCGCCACTCGTGGACGACGATGAGTCACACCTTGACCAATCTATGACAGATCAACAAGAAGAGCGTCCCCGGCTACGGGTGCACATCAAAAAGTAATAATTTCATCCCAAATTTTTGCATTAGGCTCGAAGATGGAGGCCTAACAGGCGCTTGTGCAGGTGGCATGCCATTGCGGCCTGGCACTGGGATGTGCATGAGGACAGCTGCGGCATTTGCCGGATGCAGTTCGATACGTACTGCGTGGATTGCAAGAAGCCTGGCGATGAGTGCCCACCAAGTGCGTTCATCTCTCCATCTCTCGCGAGAGCGGTTAGCAAACGCCTTTCTAACCCGCTCTCACCTCCAGTCTGGGGCAAATGCAACCACATCTTCCATCTGCACTGCATCTTGAAGTGGATTCAACAGCAGGGCGCCGAGGCTCACTGCCCCATGTGCCGCCAGCCCTGGGAGTTCAAATAGAATCACCCACTCCCCCGCTCCACCATGTACATCTTCACCCACAACACTCTGCCTCTTCATCACGAGAAGGAAGCGCTTGGGGAGTGGCGAGTGATGAGGACAGGGTGTGTATTGTGAATCATGAGAGACGAGAAGGAAGAAGGAGGGTGGCTGTTGGGTGTAGTGGTACGAGGATAGCGAGAGGGGTTGAGGCTTAGGCTTTGAGCTTGGGGCGGAGCTCCTCCTTGGTGGGCACGCCGTGGATGTCGCCGGTGGAGACGAGGGTGAGAGGAGAGGAGAAGACGCGGCGGGCCACGCGGGCCAGGTCGTCGCGAGTGACGGCGTCGAAGCGGGCGGCGTACTGGGCCGGGGCGAGGGGCGCGGTGCCGGCGAGGGTGTGGCGGGCGAGGTAGTCGACGAGGCCGGTGCGGGACTCGACCTCGCGGAAGAAGGAGGCCTTGGCCTGGTTCTTGGCCCTGGTGAGCTCGGCGTCGTCGACGGAGAAGCTGCCGGCGAGGCTGTTGAGTTCGGCGCTGAGCAGGCGGGCGGCATCGGCGCCGTGGCCGGGGAGGGCCTCCACAAAGACGCCGAAGAGACCAGAGTCGCTGTAGGAGGCGTTGAGGGCGGAGGAGGCGAGCACGTAGTCGCCCTTGGCGAGCACGTTGCGGGCGAGGCGAGAGCGCAGGCCGACGCCGGGACCATCGCGGGTGAAGCGGGCAGCGCCGCCGAGGAGCGAGCTCAGGGTGCGCACGGCGAACACGTCGGGGTCGGCCAGGCTGGCGCCCTCGAAGGCGAGCGCGACGCGGGAGTTGCCGGGACCGGGGAGGCGGAGCTCGCCACCGGTGTAGGACGAGGCGGCGGTGTAGACGGCGCCGGGCTTGCGGTCGGCAGCCTCGAGGGTGGTCCACGGGGCCTTGTCCTCGGCGAAGGCGTCGGCGGGGAAGTACTTGTTGGCTTGGGCAACGAGCTGCTCGTGCTTGATGCCGTAGCCGACAAGGGCGACGTTGGAGGCCTGGTACCGCTCGTGGTGGTACCTGATGATGGCCTCCCTGGTGACGGCGCCCACTCTGTAGTTGGGGCAGTAGATGGAGTTACCCAGACCCTCATCCCTGTAGGCCTCACGGTGGATGGCCTCCACGAGAGCGGTGGCGGGGTTGGTCTCGGCCTCGTGCACCTCGGCGGCGACCTGAGGAGCGGCGTCCCTCACAATGTACTCCCACGCGAGCGGGTGCATGAGGTCGCGGAGCATCCACACGTAATCCTCGAGGTAATCGGGCATCAGCTGGCCCGAGTACGAGATGTTCTCGCGACTCGCGGAAACATCGAAAGCCGCAGTGGCCACCTCCATCTCCCTGGTGACGGTAAGCGGGCTCCTGCTGCTCGTGCGCTATGTAGCAGCGGGGGGGGGGGATTAATATAGTACGCAGCATTCCGAGCCGGATGAAAGATGAAAAATGGCGGCAATTTGAGGTAATTGGCATACCGAGAAGGCAAGGTGCCTGAGGAAGTGAGCGGCACCGCGAGACTCACCGGTCTCGAAGCGGGCGCCGGCCTTGACGTGCAGGCCCACGGCGGCGAGCGGCAGCTCAGAGCTGACGGTGGTGACCTTCAGACCGCTGTCGAGCGTGGTGGTCTGAACATTGTCGAGGGTCTGAGGAGTGGCCTCCCAGGTCTGGGGCACAGAGCTATGGGCCTGCTTCAAGCTGGAAGTGGCGGTCCACGACGAGTAGCTCTGGAAATGGCGGCAAATAGTCAATCAATTGGCGAACGGGAGGGGGGGGGCTTTTTGTTCTAATAAGCGGCAATAAATGCTCCGAGCGCGACAGAAGTGAGGCGAGAGGACAAATGCGAAGGCAAATTAACAAGCAGCTGTGGCAAGGCGCAGATAAACCGCAGCAATTGCACATTGTACTCCAATTACTGACCTTCGATCCGAGGACGGAAGCGGAGGGCGACGAGGCGCGGGTCACTCCCTTAGCGAGGGACAAACGGGCAGCGTGCTGCGGCTTCATAATGATGTTCGCGAAAATGCGTGAGTGCGGAACGAGGGCGGGGCAGGAGGCTCTCAATCTTCAGCGGCGCAGGCAAAGGCGACGGAGAAAATGGCCAGCAAGCCAAACCGCCACCTTAAATTCTTGTGACCGTGCGCGTTTCGTGCTCACCATGACGAACACAACACGCAACACACGCCACCGCACACACGGACTCAACGCGCGTACATATTGATGCCATCGCTGGGGAACGAGTGAAAACTTTACATCGAGGAGATGACATAAATACAACATGTTGCTCGGCGAGAAGAAGGTGCGGGTGACGTCGCCTTGGTCTAGTTGAGCCAGAAGGCGTCGATGCAGCAGACGCTCCACTTGGAGTTGTAGCGCCACCACCAGAAGAGGTAGAGGAGCGAGTAGAAGGCGTTGTTGCTCGTTTGGGAGACGTGGAAGAGCGGGAAGACGGAGAGGTGGAGGCTGGAGGCGCCCTTGCTGAAGAGGAAGAAGGGCAATAGGAGGAGGAATAAGTCGCTACTCCTCTTGCTGCGGTAGAGCCAGAAGAGAGGTACGAGGAAGAAGGAGAAGGCGGTGCCGCTGCTGACCACCCACACGAAGGGGAAGAGGGTGAAGAGGAAGAAGTCGTTGTCGATGCTAAACCAGAAGATGAGGAAGAACGAGAAGGTCTTGGCGCCCGAGCTGGATCGTGTGAAGGTGAAGAGGGGCAGCACGCCCACCGCCCACCGGCCGGTGCTGCTGCTCCCGGCCACCCACACGAAGGGGAAGAAGGCGAAGAGGAAGAAGTCGTCCTCGCTGCGGACCCACAAGAGCAGGAAGAGCGAGACCGTCGTGGCGCCCTTGGCCGACCGCGCGAAGGTGAAGAACGGCAGCACGGCGACGGACCACCCGCCGCCGGCCGTGTCGCGGGCGTACCAGAACTGGAGGATGAGCGCCCTCGTCTCCGTCTTGGTCCGATAGATGAACCCGAACGGCAGGAGCATCGACAGCGTCTTGGTCTCGTTGCTGATCACCCAGAACAGGAACAGCACGCCTATCGTGCGCTTGTTGCGCGCTGTTTTACGCAGTAGTGTGGAAGAAAGTGTGAGGGTTTGTTCGCTGAAAGCGAGCGCGCGATGCCAGGAGGAGATGATGACGTACAGGCGGAGTAGAAGAAGATCGGGAAGAGCCAGCACAGGGTCGAGTCGCCGTCTCGCTTGATGAAGAAGATGGGGAACACTGTGGCCCACCACATGCCCGACGAGTGCTTGGCCATCCAGAACAGAAGGAAGCCGATGACCGGCTTCCACTGCGGAGAGCGGTAGTAGAAGAACGGGAGCACGGACATCGTCACCGAGCTACTGGCCGGGTTCTTGGTGAACCACACGATGTAGAACAGGCCGAAGCCGGTCTTATCGATCTCCGGGTTGCGGTAGAAGAAGAAGAACGGCACGAGCGTCGTGAACACCCTCCTGTGGCCGTTGTTTGTCGACACTCGGAGCCAGTAGAGCAGCATCACCGACAGCGTTGTGTGATTGTCTTTGTTGCTGAAGATCACGAACGGGAAGAGCACCAGTTTCCTGCAGTTGGTGTCGGGTGTGTCGTGTGTGGGCGAATTAGCTGAAGCTTTACAGTAGTGAGAGCGTCGTGTGTACTCGAGTTTGCCCCGGCGCGTGGTCAAGTAGAACAGCAAGAAGAAGATCGTCGTCTGAAAGCAATGAAGAGCGAGTCAGAGTCAGAGGGCATGAGATCGAATTGAGAGAGCCTCGGGCAGGCGGACGAACCGTGTTGTTCCCTTTGACAAACCAGAAGATCGGGAAGATGGTGAATACAGAATGGGAGTCCATCCTGACTAACCATACCACCCCTGCATGCATCACCACAGACAAGTCAGACTAGGGCAAGCAGCAGCAGCAGCAAGGGCACAAAGGGCACACATGCATCTTCAACTTTGAAAGATCTTCCAACGAACCGCAGATGGTCGTGGCGCTGGAGCTGTCCTCGCTGAAGTGCCAAAAGATGGGGAAGAGGACGATGGCGCGATAGACCCTGAACGAGTTGGCGTTGTGCATGTTCGGCGTATGGATGGTGCGATAGTAGAAGATGTAGAGCACCGACAGGAAGAAGCGCCTCTCGCCCTGCTTCTCTGTTGACACGTACGAGAGCAGCGGGAAGACGTGCAGAACCGTGCGCCCGCCTTCGCCTCCGCTCTGGTCATAGCTATGGTGGTGATAATCATCAGCACAGTGCCGCCTTCATCCTTGCAAGGTCCCTCTCGACGTGACAGGTGGGGTGGCGCACCTTTTGTAGAAGATGACGCAGGGCGCGATGGCGATGAGCATGCGACGTTGCGAGATGTAGATATACGTGAGTGGCAGCAGCCGCATCGTGAAGACCCATCCTTCGCCCTTGCCGGCAGCAACAGCATCGTCGCTGCTGGTCTTGGAGATGCGGAAGAACGGCCAAATCACATCGACGGCCCAGCCCCCTGGCACGGACACCAGGCGGAGCAGGATGACGAAGATGGAGATGCACCAGGCCGAGAGGGTCGATGCGGCCGTGTAGCGGCAGTAGTTGACGATAAACGGGTACCAACCGCGTTTTAGCCCCTTGGCCGGCTCCTCGCTGCCACCCTCGTCATGCCGTTGGTAGTAGAGGGGCCACAAGGGCAGATTTGACGCCGTGCAGCAGTCCCCGGCCATTCAACGATGCGCAATCCAATCAATACTAACATAAATCAGACCAGAAGAAGAGCTCCCCTGTGTAATACAACATCTCTTTCGCCTAAGAGGCCCGCCGCGCTGAAAAAGAACATCGCCAACCAACCACACCGCGCCGCGGCCCACGGGCACCTGGTCCTGCGTTTCTGCGATCTTGCATAATTATGATGTCGGTTAGGGTCATTGGCCGCGCAGCTGGCCAGTTCGAAGGACTCTGGCTCACTTCTTCCCCTTTTGGTCCTCCTCGCCGTGCGTGGCTTGGTTTTTTCTTCATCTTCCTCCTCTTGGTCTTGGTCTTCGTCATCCTTCGCTTTGTCTTTGCCCTTGCCCTTGCCGCGCGCGGCCGGTTTCCTTTCTTCTTCGCTCTCGCTGCTGGAGGACACCCCGTCGTCATCGTAGTCCCGCTCATCCTCTTCTCCCTCGCTCTCCGGTATCTCCCCCTTCTCGAGGTACCTGAAGTAGATCGACTCGGTCCGGTCCTGCAGCGCAGCACAGCCATCAAACGAACGAGGGTCAACACAACCGCTTTCTTTGGCTGACGTGTGGTGGTACCTGCGCGAGCTCGCCCGTCTTTTTGATGAACTCTTTTGACTCGACATCAAGCGTGGGCGCCCTGTGTACATGCGCGGGGGAACGTGTGAGCAATCAACGCCGTAGGCCGAAGGAGGGCGGTGGTCTTCACCGGGTCGGGTGTGGCCGTACCAGTAGTTGAGCAAAGCGTTGCGGCACGCACGCAGGTGGCCCTTTTCCAGGATTTGCACGGCGAAGAAGTCGACCAGGGGCTTCTTCCAGCGCGCGAAGCCCAAGTGCCCCAGGCTCGTCAGGATGCGCGCTAAACGACAAACAACGACAACGACAACAACAAAGCATGGGGTCAGCGATACGCCGACCACATGGGGAAGTGAATGAGGTAGGTCCGGGTACTGATCCGTAGGTTGTTGTGGGTGTGTGAGTTCATGTTCCGGTAGCGCGATAGCCAGTGCTTGGCGCGCTTCACCTGGCCCGTGTGCTTATCCACCAGACGCAGGCCGTAGAAATCGAGCTGGCGTGTTGATCAGACGAGAACGAGAGAACACGGACAAGCGAGCTCGTGAGAACACGGCTTGCTAGGCTTCTGCACCTTATCTTGTAAGCATACCATGAGCTGATAGGACTTGACCACGCGCATGGCGATCTGTACGCTCTCCCGCATCAACTTGGCTGAAGCGCGTAGCGAGAAGACGATGAAAGTGAGGATTGGAGTTGTGTGGTGTGGGAGAGTGCCAAACAGGACTGGCGACTGCTATGTATGTACCCTCTCCCTTGGTGAGACGCGCGGACTGGTAGTTCATGCCGCCGCCCTCAAACAGGGGGAAGAGCCACTGGATGTAGCCGTGGTGGGCCTCCAGCTTCTTGTAGTCGCCCCACCAACGCTTGTGAACGCGATCGATCACGTCACCAGATGGACGCGACGGCCGCACCTGCGTAGCGTATCCGACACAACGCACGAGAGAAGGAAGTATGAGTAATATCCATTACCAAGAAGAAGGAACGAGCACGTAGAAGCAAACGACGGTGGTCGTGGTGAACGCTACGTTGGAGTAGAAGAGGAAATTGGGACCCTCGCGAGGGTTGACCTCGACCCTCGGTGCCGACTGGCGTGGCGACCACGGCTGCGGCACATACGCCGCCTGGACTCGACCTACTCGCAAAATACATGCAAATAAATAAATATTCGAAAAAAACATAATTAAATAATTTATGAATGATAGGAAATGGAGGAAGGGACCTGAGGAACGGCGGAGAGGATAGCGGCCGGCCTCGTTGGTGGTGACGACGGCAGTGGAGGAAGATGAAGACGAGGAGGAAGTGACGCGCACGGTGGAGGCCTTTACGAAGGTGAGCTTCCCCTTTGTTTTGGTTTGGCGCGACTTGTCGTCCTCGGCTTCCTTGGCCTCCACCTCCTCCTCTTCGCGCTTTGTTCGTTTCGCCTGGCGCCCTTCGCCATCCTCTTTTCCTTTGCTCGCAGCAGGCCTCTTGCGTGGCGGCATCGTCAATCTTCAACAACCACACTTCCTTCCTGAAAGTTACCGTTTAATATTTCAATAATAATCTTTACACTTTTTTTCTCGCTCATTTTCTTATTATTATTTTATCCCTCCGTCTCGCTGTGCAACCAAAAGAATACTAGGAAAAAGCGTGGATTGACAAACATTTCTGGACATGTTCCACCAATTTATTAGCTTGTTTTCCCGTTTCCGGAATGCGGGGCAGTCGCAGATGGCTACCACGGAGAATTCATCACATACCAAACTTCTGTACACTTTCGCGCCAAACTTTTCAGCCAACTCCTCGCCGTTTCCGTGTCACTTTCCGACGTGTATTATAAATATTTCCTGTCTTTGAAGGCTTAAATGATTCAAATACTTTAACTGTTTCTCTGTGCGACCATGGAGATCGCTGTCTCGCAGATTCGGCGGTGGCTGGGTACGCCAAAGCGGCGAAGACAGTGAAGTTGGCAGCGGCTTTCGTGGAAATTCGACAGGTGACGACCACCGATATTTGACGGTTCTTCTGTCTGTCTCAGTCATTCTTCACAACCACCACAGCGAGCTGAGCCAGCGACACGCCCAGCCACACCCGGCACCCCGCCTACAAAACCACCAACCCACCAGTCCATCCCACCAACGCTTTCATGCTCTACTGCTCTCCTCGTGCTTCCTCCAACACCACAACCACCAACTTCACCCCTCGCACCTCGCTTCTCTTCGACGCTTCGCTCGACTACTTCGACTCAACCATCAACGACCGCTTTAGTCGTTTCTCCTAGCGCCATCGTCGTCACCCCCAACAGCAACACACATAATCAAATGGCACCCACCCCTACCGCCCCCGCCACGTCGACTGCCACCGCCACCTCCACCCAGGCCTCGCCCACGCCCGTGAAGAGGAAGGGCCCCAGCCCGGCGGTGCTCAGCAATGAGCTCTTCCAGCTCAAGAAGCAAATCGACCAGCTTCAGTTCAGAGTCGCCCAGCAGCAGCGCAAGGGCGACCCGCAGCTCGCCCGCACCCAGGCCAGACTCGAAGGCCTGCGCCGCACGCACCAGTGGCTCAAGCGCCTCCACATGGCGCTCCACCCGCTCAACCCTGCCCACCAGCCTCTCAAGCAGCAGCCGTCTAGCCCCAAGCCGGCCGTCCGCTCGGTGGTTGCCGCTGCCACCACCACCTCGGTCACCGTCATCGACACCTCCTCAGCACCGCAGACCCTAAGCGTCCGCTCGTAACGGGCCAATCGACCGCTCTCCACGACTCGACTTAGTTCCCTCTTATTCGACGAATTTAGAGACCCGCCACAATCCGAGATCGGATGGAATTTGCAAGAGAAGAACGGACACGATAGCAACGAAGAAGGACGCGCGCGGCCTGTACATCCTGTACACAATTTTGTTTTACACTGCCACATATAATCCCCCCTATTTTTCTCGCTTCTACATAAATCGATTTCAACCTACGCGACCACTTCCCTTCTTCTTGCTCTTTACTTTTTTATGACGGCCTCTCATTTCATTGTTGCTTCAACCATAACCCACGGTACCCCCTCCCAGACCAAAGGCTTTGCTCTCGTTCACGAAGAGCCGGGAGAAGAGCTTCTTGTCATCCAGCTGCTCTCCAGCTCAACGGCGTAGCCCCGAACGAGGAGGATCAAGGTGAAGGGCGGTGAGCGTGGATGACAGGAAAAGCAAGGGGAAGGAAGGCCAGAGCTACCACGAACCAGCCGACAGCCTTCCCTGCAGATTTCAGCTGGAAGACACCATCTTCGCTGCAGGTGGCCCACCCTCATCTCCCATCACTCTCGTGGTTAGCTGAACCTCATCCTCCATACATAGGCTTGGGCATGCGCTGTACTTCGGCAGAGCCCTCCACAGACCAACCCACGGCGGAGGCCCATTCGACATTCACACAACACTACCTCAACCAGCAACAACAACACTGGCCCTGCACAATCGTCCACTCTCACCTTCTGCAGGACTCGACAACAACCATCCTCCCCTTGATACCGCACACGACTCACAGCACTCAGCAGTGATACACACAACCCCGCACTTCGCAACACAACTCACCACACACACACCACACAACACAATGTCTTGGGACATGGGCGTCGCACCTCCGGGCATGACCCCGCCCGGAGGCGGCTACGACAGCACCGCCTACCCGCCACCACCGCCCGGCTACGGCGGCCCTCCGCCCGCTGCGGGCGCCTACCCGCCATTCCCCACGTACGCCTGATCTCCCGCATTCATCACACATTCCACACATTGGCCTGGGACTGCGGGCTGACTGACATTCGCGCTCGGTACGTAGGCAAGGGCCGATGCCGCCGGGTCCGCCGACCCCGCAGGACAGCCCCTGGGGTGGTCCTCCCGCTGCGCCCGGCCTGGGCTACGGTGCCCCGGGGCCAGACCCGGGCTTCACAGCCTTCCCTCCGCCCGGCGGCGCCCCTCCGCCGCCGGCTGCTGGAGGCGGCTGGGGCCAAGCGGCGGCCCCGCCTCCGCCCGGCGGGGCGGGCTACTACGGTGGACCGCCTGCGCCGCCTGTGGATCAGGGGTGGCAGCAGGCTCCCGCACAGATCGCGGTGGGCGGCGGCGGGGCCTACGGAGACCGTGGACCCTATGCGCGTCGCAAGTCGCTCCTCATCGGCATTTCCTACCGCAACTCCATTCGCCCCTTGGGCGGTACGCACCACACCGCACCCCAATTCACACAACTCGACTTACCATAGTACATTCGACCCAGGCTGCATCAACGACGTGAAGAACGTGCGCCAGTTCATCGTCGAACGCTACGGCTTCCCCACGTCGCGCGATTCCATGGTACGCGAGAGGACGGATGTCTACAGAGAGAGCGAGTCAGGTCTAAGACTTTCTTCCTTCTTCGCGTTTGGGGTTTCTTTGTTGTCAGGTCATCCTCACCGACGAGGGACACGAGGACTCTGCTCATCGGCCCACCAAAGAGAACATCGTTCGTTGGATGAGGTGGCTGGTGGCCGACGCCCGGGCCGGCGACTCGCTGTTCCTGCACTATTCGGGCCACGGAGGCCAGACCCCCGACAAGGGTACGCCCGTTCGCTGCTGAGTGCTCTTCTCTGTGGAGCCTCCACAGAGAGCCACCGATGTTTAACCACTCCCAAGGAGCAGATGGCGACGAGATCGATGGCATGGACGAAACCATCTTGCCCGTCGACTACGAGAAGACCGGTCAGATCGTCGACGACGACATGCACGAGATTCTCGTCAAGCACCTCAAGCCAGGTAACTTCCATTGCTTGCGAAAACACGGTACACTGGTTTCCCCCGAATCGCTCACGGTCGTGCTCGCGACAGGTGTGCGGCTGACGGTGATCTTCGACTCGTGCCACTCGGGCACGGCGCTCGATCTGCCCTACGTTTATGACAGTCGCGGCAACATCGTGTGCTCACCGGAGATGATTGCGGCCGCAGGCGGACCCAAGCCCACAGCCCAGGCCAGCAACACCAGCACCTACTACAGCAGCGGCGCGCCTTCGGGACCAGCACCTACTACAGTAGCGGCACGCCCTCTGGGACCAACAGCTACTACAGTAGCGGCACCCCTTCGGGGACCACTTACTATGGCGGCATGCCTGCGGGGACTCCCACCACCTACTACCAATCCAACCCGGTGGTGCAGTACAACGCCCGCAAGAAGAACAAGTGGAGCAGTACGTACAGGCTTGGAGCTCTTCCGATCGCGATGAATCCCCTGATCTAACGACCAATCCTTCATTTTCACAGCCAAGCTGGGCCACATGCTCATGGGCGTTTCCAGTTCGATGATGCCCCAACGGGGCATGGGCGACTATGGCGCCGAGACCACCGACCGCGAATACAACTACCAGGCCCACCTGAGTAGGATCTCTCAAGTAACCCACCTCCTGCCAACGACCTCTTTCGATCCTAAAGTTCTCATCGCCGTGCGTGTGTTGTCACAGGCCGACGTGGTGATGTTTTCGGGCTGCAGTGACGAGCAAACCAGTGCCGACACCAGCATTCAGGGCAGCCGCACCGGCGCCATGAGCTACGCCTTCATCGCCACGTTGCGCGCCAATCCTCAGGCACGAGTTCCAGCGCCCTTGGTTGTGTGTTGTTGTGGGTCGCTGACATGAGCGTTTCCCTGTGCAGGGGGTGACCTACTCTGGTCTGCTGGGCAGCATGCGCGAGGTCCTCCAGGGTCAGGCATTTGGCCAAGTGCCGCAGCTGTCCTCATCCCACCCGATGAACATGAACCAACCGTTCAATGTCTGATGCAGTCTGCTGCCCGCTAGGCGCAGGCCTTTCGTTACCATGTAACGCACATTGACATAACTTTCAGAACAGCGAAACGAACATTCGAAACGCAATTTAAGAATACCCTTGGAGCTGCCCAACAGACCGCCAAGAAGACAAAAAGATGGAGCAGACGGCACGTTTCGAGGGCCTCTTTGCCGCGACTCTCACGCCATTTGACGAAAACGGCCACGCCTCCACTCGCCTCACAAGTAACCCCCCCCCAACCATGATATTTTGTACTACCACTACCTCTGCCGTGCTTATTGACGTTGGGTATTGTGTGCGTTGTCGCAGAGGAGTATGGAGAGCGGCTGGTGCGAGAAGGAGTGACGGGTGTGTTCTGCTGCGGCACGTCGGGCGAAAGCATGAGCCTCACCCTACCCGAGCGCAAGGCTGCCCTCGAGGCTTGGCTCACTACGCCTCTTCGCGTCATAGTCCACATCGGCACTGCCAGGTATGTATGAAGTCCAGCGCCTCTTGAAAACAAGCACCACACCTTCCTCTGACCGCTCTACTTACGCCGTCCCGCCCGGCCGCTGAAGCTTGGAGCAGACAAAGGAGTTGGCTGCTCATGCTGAAAAGGCGGGTGCTCACGGCATCGCCCTCATGCCCCCCTTCTTCTTCAAGGTGAGTCCCTTTCTCTTCTCTCCCTTCTTCCATTTCACGTCTCGACCCACATTCCTAACGTAACCATCTACCACTCTTCTTCCTCTTCTGCGTGTCGTTCACAGCCTCGCAACGTTGAGGAACTGGTGTCGTACTGCGAGTCGGTGGCCGAGGCTGCGCCACACACGCCCCTGTTCTACTATCACTTCCCTGGTACCATCACAGGGCTCTTTGTGGTACATGCCTCAGCCCTAATCGTCGTGGTCGCATGATTGGGCGTTCAGGTATGGTGGGTGTCAACATTCCGCTCTACGACTTCTTCGCTGCGGCCAGCAGCCGCATCCCCACTCTTCAAGGTGCCACCCTCATTCTTACCCACCTTGAAAGGTGTCTTGTGTGCTGACCTCGTTTCATTCATTCAGGCGCCAAGTTCACCGACTCGCAGCTGGGCGACTTCTTCCGGGCTCTCTGCTTCGCCGGTACGACCGCCCTGACCCTTCGTCGCTGCTGCTCGTACTGGTCGTAGGAATCCCACTGTGCTTTGCATATGGGCTTCAACAGACCGCAAGTACGACGTGATGCAGGGCTACGAGTTTTCGTATCTGCCGTGCCTGGTGCTGGGCGCCAAGGGCTACGTCGGGGTGTCCTTCTCCCTCTGCGCTCCGGTCTACCACCGCCTCGACAAGGCCTTCCACGAGGGCGACTTCGCCACCGCGCAGCGCCTCCAGCTCGCCGTGTCCGATTTCCTGACCACAGTCCTTAACTACAGCATGATCCCCGCTGTCAAGGCGCTCGCGAAGGAGGTTCTCTCAGCCCTCACCTACCCTCACCTGGTGGTCTTCTTCAGCTCCCGCTCATGGCTTGTGCGTGTGTGTGTGTGTGTGTGTTTGTGTTGTGTGTGTGTTGTGTGGTGTAGTGGACTGGCCTGGACTTTGGCGGCGTGAGGAAGCCGCTGGTGTCCCTTACGGACGCTGAGCGGACCAAGCTCCTGAACGAGCCCAGCGTCAAGACCATGCACGCCCTCGTCCTCGAGCACCAGCCCAAGCAGTGATACACCTTGACCCATCCGCCATCAGTGGCCCTTTACCTTGAGCACCTTCATCTTCATGCTGCACCAGGGCCAAGCTCATGAGCTAACCGCAAATGAAGGGAGCTTGGATACCGACAGTTTGAGCTGTCGTGGAGTACCACGGATTGGAGGTTGGTTTCGTTTCGAACCACAAAAGAACAGTCCGTGAAGGTTGTTGCTCGCACGACTGCTGCTCTGCATCGTCTCGTCTTGTTCACCGGTATTGGGCTACCTCCTGCCTGTTGTTGTTCAAGTACTAGCAAGCGTTAGAAAGTAGAGAGTTAGCGAAGAGAAAGCTAGATCTAGATTGATCAACCACCTCAATCTAAGATGGAAGCTGTGCCCGTGGTATCGGCGCCCCACAACGTAGCAACGTTTGTGCTTCAGGATGACCTTGGGCCTCAGCCCCTCGACAAGCTATTCCAAGCAACCAGGTCTCCTCCTCCCATTCATCTTTCATCTTCATTTCATATTTCCTTTGTGCTATGAATCCTTGGACCACGAGCTCAAGCACCTCTGCTCAAGTGCGAAACGAGGAGCAGGAGAACACTACAGTGCAATCTTTACAGATCCAGATTTTCACCGCGGTGCCTGGTGACACCTACAGGATGGCGGTGGAGAGCTTCTATGAAGCTGCAGAGAGCGCTGGTGGCGGCGAGGAAGGCGGAAGTGGTGACGGCGGCGATCCAAACAAGAGGGTGAGGGGCAGTTTGACTCTTCGCGCGCAGCTCCTGACCTCTCGTGCCGCTGCGGCCAAACCTGGTACGCCTCGCTCTACACCACCACTCGTCCGCGTTCTTGGGTGGCCGCCGACCGCAGACTCACCCGCGAGCCTACTCACTGCGCAGCCAACGCGGCCTTGGACTTGAGCAGCAAGACCAACCGCGAGCTGGTGGAGCTACTGCGCCACAGGGTGCGTTCTGTTCTTTCCGGCGAGTGCGGCCTGCGGTTGCGGTTAGCACTCACTCGCCCCCTTACGCGCGTTTGACAGGACGAAGGGATGAAGCTGGCCGCGGCGAGCGTGCTGGAGAAGAAGGTGTGCGGCGTGCTGGCGACTGACGTCGCGCGCGTTTCGGCCGTGGAGGAGCTGACTAAGAATGGCCTTCGGCCGTTGGTTGAGATCCTGACCGCCACCGCCTCCAGCACACAGCTCCTCTACAAGACCGTCGTTATCCTCATAGCCATCTTCAACGGCACGTGCGCTGTGTTGTGTGTGTTGTGTTGTGTGTGTGTTGTGCTTGCTGATATGCTCCTGTCCTGCGCACAAGCTCGTAGCTGACTGTTTCTTAGATGATGTCAGCGATCGCCTGCGGCAGGTCGGAGGATTGGGTCCTCTCCTGAGCCATGTGTCGTCCGAGGATAGCGCGCTCGTCAAGCAGCTCCTGGTCCTCATCACCGATCTCGCCCTCAATGGTTCGTTTTCCTCCCGCGCCTTAGTTGTGTAAGAGAGCACCGCAACCAACACCAAATGCGAATATGTGTGTGTGTGTGGCGCCACGTGTAGAGCAAAACCAAGACGGGTTCCGCCGTACGGGTCTGCTCGACAAGGTGGTGCCCACTCTGGCTCACCCAGATCCCGAGGTGCGCCTCTCTGCTGCCGAGGCCCTGGTCAACCTCTCCGTCTCCGTCAAGAATCAGGAGGTACCTCAAGCCAGGCCCCTCCTTTCCGCAGCTGCTGCGCGTATGTTACTGACTTTATGTCCCACAGACGATCGCCAAGGCCAATGCTCTGCCCCTGGTAATCCAGGCGCTGAGGTCCGACGACGATCATTTCCAACTACAGAGCCTTCTCCTTCTTCACAACCTGTCCCAGTGCGGTATGTGCGACGCAGCGCCTTCTTGATCAGCACCTTTACTTTTTGGTCGGACTGAACGTTGCCTGGTGGTGGTGGTGGTGCTGGTGGTGGTGGTGGTGGTGGTGGTGGTGGTGGTGGTGGTGGTGTGCGCAGCGATGGCCAAGGCCAACTTCACCAGCGAGGACCTGGCGCTACTGCTCACCTTCGCCGATGCGCAGAAGCTGGGCCAGGAGCCCAAGGAACGCAATCTCATCGTGCAGCGCTACACTCTCGCCACGTTGGCCGGATTGGCCAGCTTCGGTATCTCCGCACATGTGCCCACACATAGACGTGGTGGTGACCTAAAGGCTGACCGTGCATGATGCCCCTCTTCGTATTCAGAGAAACACCAGCACAAGATTGGAGAGCTGGGTGCAGTCAAGATGCTGCTGCCGTTCCTTGAGCTCGTGGAAGGCCCCGTGCCCGTGGACGGCGATGTGCTGTCCAGCGTGCTCGAAACCTTCGACCACCTACTGAACTTGAGTACTCGCCCTGCGTGCCTATGTGGTAGTGAGGCCGTGTTGTTGTGTTGCAATCGGAACGGCGAAGAGGTCTAACACATGCACCATTGCAGAGGACAATCAGTACATGTTTTTCCAAGCCAACGGGCACGAGCGCGTGTTGGCCATCTTGCGCAAGCCACAGGCCTTCAGCGAGTCTGTCGTCATCGAAGCCGCCTCCATCGTTGCCCATCTGTCCTCCTCCTGTACGCTTCCCCCGACCTGCCCTTCACTGGTCCCCGTCAGCCCATCCACTCCCGCACAACAGCACGACCGGTCTGGAACTCCTCACTAATGGTGGCCTTTTCTATGGGTTCTGCTTGCAGCGAACAGCCACGTGTTTGGCTCCATCGGCGTCAGGCAACTCAACAACCTGCTCGACATGTACCCCCAGGTACTGTGCCTTTTTTGCTCGGTTGCCCCTACCTGCCCCTACGAGGTTTCTTAACACTTGTGGTCGCGTGCAGAACACAACCATGCATCTCCTGGTCGCCAAGACCTATGCGTCGCTTTCCCAGGACGGTTCGTGATGAACATCCCCCTCTCCCTTACCACCATCAACCTACTTCTTTCTTTTATTGTTATTTATGTATTTCTATTTTCTGTGAATCGCAGGACACAGCGCCCGCTTGCTGGTTGCGAATCAGGCCGAGCTGGTGTTGGCCAAGTTCATCCTCGAATCCCGCACGAAGCAGGTGCTCGAGCACGCCTGCCTGGCCCTCTCCAAGCTCGCCGGATTTGGTATTCATTTTTCCTCCCCTGCTCACTTGCCTCTCGACTCTTGGGCCTGGCCCAGGTCGGATGACTGATCGTCGATCGTCGCACATCTATGTGTGCAGATTCCGTGCGCGCCTATATTATCCAGTCCGAGCTGGTGCGGAAGCTGATCTCTCTGCTGGGCTACAGCGATCAATCTCTCGTCGCTCCCGTCACCACCACCCTTGGTCTCGTGGCCGTCAAGGGTACTGCCACTGCCCCGTGTGCCTGTGTGACTGCGTGCGCGAGGCACTTTTTTGCTGACTCTGTTTTGTTTTCTTTTCTTTTCTTTTTCTGTGGTGTGTAGAGGAGGGCATGGCGGCGATCATGGACTACGGCGGTCTCCTGCCTCTCATCACGCTGCTCCAGTCGCAGGACACCCGCATACAGGAGATGGCTCTGACCGCCATCGGCAGGGTGGTCCTGGCCGGTACGTGCCTCATCTTCGTCGCGCTCGCGCCTTCTCCACAGACGCACGTGCATGCGCGCCATGCCTCATTAGGAGTGCCTGCATGTCTGTCCTACAGACCAGTCGAGCACCAACAGGCAGGATCTTGTGTACCGGGGCGGGTTGAAGGAGATGATCGGGCTCATGACCTCGTCGAGCCCGGCCGTGCAGCTGCTCGTGCTGGGCATCCTCAAGGCCCTCGCCAAATACGGTAGCCCCCTCCCCCCCAATCCACGACCTAAAGCAAACGGTTTTGCTGACGTGGCACGCGACCTGGTGCAGAGGACATGCGCGAACCGTTCCAACAGGGAGGGCTCATGGAAAAGATCCGCCTCCTCGCCGACCACCGTACGCTTGCCTTGATCATTTGTGGAATGCACGAGGAAAGGGAAAGCCGCTGATGATATTGTCGCGGGCGGTGGCGGAGAGCAGCCAACGTGCAGAAAGAGAACTCGAATGTTAGGCAGACGCTGCGTATGCTGCTGCTCGCGGTGAAGACCCTCCTGGACGCCCCGCCCACGCCCGTTTCCGTGCCCTCCTCGCCCATGCTCAGTGCCCTCAACTACACACCTGGTACCGCTCACCTTCGTCCCGTCTTTTCTGCGCCGTGGCGTACCGGTGACTCACCACAGCACTGTGAATGCGGTCGGTCGCAGAGGAGATGCAGAAGCTGGACACGGTGTTGGCGTCGCTGACGCGGGACCAGCTCATCTCCCTCGTCAAGGAGGCCGTAACGCAGGGCGCCAATGTCTCGAACTCCATCAAGCAGTTCGTTCACATCAACATCGCAGCTGGTACGCCTCTCCGCCTCCTGAAGAGGATAGGGGAGTTGGCTGTTCCGGATCTCAACGCCACACACCGCACACCACATGGCGACGCCGCAGGCAAAGAAAGCGAGAGAGCTCGCGGAATTCCTTCGGCTGCCCCGGCCTATGAATCTCCTTCGTTGTCGTCGCCTGCTGGGCCTCCGCCGCCTACGCCTTCTCTGGCCTCGTCGTCGTCGTCCGGCGGGCCTCCGCCGCCCCCGCCGCCGGGACCGCCTCCCCCCGGCGCACCCGCATCCCCCTCGACCTCGCGCGGGGCGCCGCCCCCACCGCCTCCGCAGGGCATGTCGGCGGATGGACCCTCATTGTCGGCGCTGCAGCTCGGCAAGGTATCCCCCCTCCTCTCTTACTCCTCGCTTTCTCCTTTGTTCTTCGCTCTTTGATGAGCTCACGCCGTCGTCGTGGCGCCGCCCACACAGTCCCGGTTGAGGGCTGCCGGCGACCGGGCGGAGCGGGACCCCATCCAGCAGGCGGGCAAGGAACCGCCCAAGATGTCCGTGGTCGACGAACTCAATCGCCGCAACAAGGTATGCCAGCCAGGTGGCCACAGAAGTTCACATTTTTTAAAAGCGAAGATTGGGTGTTGTGACCAACACTCGGTATCCCCCCCCCGTGTCCAGGACCCGGCGTACAGAACGCTCAAGCATGTCGATCTCGACTCCGAGCTGGAGCAGCGCCGCCAGGAGAAGCACCAGCGCTCGTCGCGTAGGTTGCTGAAGGACATCGAGGCCGGCAAGAAGCGCCAGTTCCTTCTCCTCAGCGAAGTGCGTATATCTGTTATTATTGTTCTCATCATCACCATCAACGTTGATAGTAACGGAGACTCAACGACAACGACACACGGTGCACGGAATGCAGGGAACTGAAGAGGGCAAGAAGTACTGGAAAAAGGACCCCGAGTGGTACGTGGAGGAGATCCAGAAGGCTCTCTGTCTCGACACCCAAATGGTACGTCCGCGATCATCAATCCGCCGTCATTCTCGTGTACAGCGTTGATGGTGACACTTCTTGTTACGCGTACGAACCCGACTAGGTGCGAGTGATCTTCTCCATTTTGGAGACCGACTCGGCGTCGACGCCCTTCGAAGTCACCCACAACGCGCTGAACCGCAAGTCCGCCGTGCCCGCCGAAGACCTGGCCCAGGTGCGCGCGTGCCCCTCTATCGATGCCTGGAGGCGGGGCGTTGTGTCGCACGCATTCCTAACATATTTTGATGTCACATCACAGGCTCTGCTCAAGGTCGGATTCACCCTCAAGAGCCGGCAGGTGGTGTTCAAGGCCAACAAGGAGGGCGAGGTCGACAGCGAGCCGGTCAAGGAGTACACCCACATCATCCTGCCGGGCGACATGCCGGTCAAGTACATCCTCAAGACCATCCTGGCCACCGTCCAGCCGTCGGTCGCCGCCTCGGGCCGGGCGATGAGCAACGTCGACGCCGACGGCTCTGAGTCCCCCCTGCCGCCCATGCCCTCGTCGCCGCTGCCCAGCGTCGCGATCGCCCCCGTAACCGCTACCAGCAGCCTGGCCTCGTCGCGGTCGGCCGTCGCCAGCCACGACCACCGCTCATCGCCCACCATGCTCGCCGTCGGCAGCCTCTCCTCGTCGCGCTCCTGCGCCACGCCCATCTCCCCGCGCACCCAGGGCGGCCCGTCCTCGGCCTCGCCATCGCCGCTCTCGACGTCCAGCTCCTTCTCCAGCACTATTCCATCGTCGCCCCGCGGGGGCCAGAGCTCGTCGTCCACCATGCTCGCCGTCGGCAACCTCTCCTCGTCGCGCTCCTGCGTCACGCCCATCTCCCCGCGCACCCAGGGTGGCCCGGCCTCGCCATCGTCGCTCTCAACGTCCGGCTCCTTCTCCAACACCGTTCCGTCGTCGCCCCGCGGGGGCCAGAGCTCGTCGCCCACCACGCTCGCCGTCGGCAGCCTCTCCTCATCGCGCTCCTGCGCCACGCCCATCTCCCCGCGCACCCAGGGCGGCCCGCCCTCGGCCTCGCCATCGTCGCTCTCGACGTCCGGCTCCTGGTCCAGCACCGTTCCGTCGTCGCCCCGCGGGGGCCAGAGCTCGTTCGCGGGCCTGTCGACCCGCAGCCAGCCTCTGCCGGTGACCCGCTCGGCCGAGCCCTTTGTGGCCGAGCACTACACGCCCGGCGCTCTCTCGTCCGAGTTCTCGGCGCTGCTCCAGGGACTGGACGACGTGGTGGCCAACAGCCCGTCGCCGCAGCCGCCCACTCGCAACCCGCTCACGAACAGCGTGCGGGAGACGTGCGGCCTGTGCAAGCAGGCCTTCCCCTCCGCTCAGACCAAGCGCATCGCCAACAAGAGCTTCTGCGCGCCATGCCACGACCGCGTGACGGCCCTCGCCAAGCAGCGCGCCGTCCAGCTGAGCTGAGCCCTCCCCCCGGCCTACACCTCGGCCCTGATTCAGCGTCAAGTCTTCCTGTGGTTCTACCTGGCGAAACCGACGCGGGCGACCAACGGTGAAGCAGTGCGGGTCACAGCGTGAAGAACCATGCAACCTCATCCGCCACCTTAAGAACAAGGAAAAAGAAAGATTGCTAACAAATTCAAAAATTAATTTACACAAGATGAAGAGGGTGATGGGCGTAGGTCGCCATGCATCCGGCGGATCTGGTGGATTGCCGCTTTCCTCATTGCTCTTGCGCAACACCGGCCGCAAATCATCTGCAACTTGCATTCGATTGACCTACAGCCGCCCCGATGGACCCCTTGCACGAAGGCTCACTACGCTGCCTCCTTCATTCGCCACAGCCTTCCGGCCTTCCACGGCTCTCATGGCCAAATTTCCAGGAATTAATCTTCATCTCAATCGCCAATCGACCCTCCACACTGCTCACGGTACACGATTTTATTGATTTATTATTTATCTATTTATTTATTGATTTTTGTACCATTTATTTAAATGTCTTTTATTTTCTCCTCGCAAGGATCCCCCAACGAGGTGGCGCAAGCGCTGAGCAAAAAGGCGACGGACATGGAGACCAAGGCCGCCAACGCCGCTGCTGAGGGCAATCTGGTACGCACACGACACGACACGACACGACACGACACGACACGACACGACACGACACGACACGACACGACACGACACGACACGACACGACACGACACGACACGACACGACACGACACGAACAACGACACGAACAACGACACGAACAACGACACGAACAACGACACGAACAACGACACGAACAACGACACGAACAACG